CTTGTCTTTGCAAGATTTGCACTGTTAGGAAGAAAAAAGCCAGATGTCTTGGTTCTATACCTAGCTGTTTAGCCATATGTTAGAAGCTCATGTGATTGCCACCTTCTGTAATGATATGCATAATGAGGGAACATACCATTTTAAGTTCCTTAAAGTGAATGCACCAGTAGGCAGTGTGTGCTGCATGCAATAGCTGTTCCAGATTGGGAGGGGGTGTACTGACATAAATAAAATGGATGAGTGACAGTATTTCATTGTGACATGATGGGAATATCATTAATTTAGAATGTATGCAAGCACTTCAAATTGAAACTGAAAGGCCTGTCACATGTTCCTTATCTAAGAAAAGAAACATTTTAGTATTTTTAATTTTTAATGCTGTGGAAAATCAATGCTGAACCTTAGAATAATGATCTTCAGAATGGCCTTTTGCAAAGTGCAGCAATTCCCTCCTGAGTTTTGTATCAATATGAAATTTATCTTATCCTAATAAAATTGTCCGTCTACCATTTCAGTTTTTTTTTTTTGAGCGGTGATTGATGCTTTTACTACCCAAGTACACCCAATAAATCAGAATTTAAATAAGTGTTTCTACAGCCAAAGAGGTTGTAATTGCAAAATACTATACTTATATGTAAAATTATTTCCTCCGGGATAATAATGAAACATTGTCAAAGCAGCTTCAAAATAAACTGACTTTTTTTTTTTTAACACCTTACAATTTTGTGCATGAAATTGTAGCCAAATTACATGTAAATATATAACTTGTTCCCATGTTAAAATATACCTGTCATGATACACACAACATTAAATGATAGTAGAAACACAAAAACATTCATACTTTGTGCTAGTAGATTTGCTAGCAAATTAATAGGTTTGTAAATGTCGCCTCTCCTCTCAGCTGTCTTTATAGATGTCCGTTTGACATTTGAGCAACAGTTGAGAGCAGGAGAACCCTCTAACAGGTTCTGCAGCTCCTTGTCACATACATTCTGATATCACTCTGTTCTGACAATGATGCAGTGTTATTTGGAGAGAGGGGATGGGGGAAGGGGTCTGACTGTTGTGGTGCCAAAAAGGTAGTAAGACCACAAAAGCTTCTAAAGCATTTCAAAATATTATTCAAAATATTATTCATGTTTTTTAATAAATTCTATATTCATAGAGCCTTAAAGAGCTCTTGTACTTTAACATGAACCTGCCATGACAGGTTTAGTTTAAAGATTTGTTATAATCGAAATTTTCCCTTCATGTTGAAGCGGATTACAAACTAATAACTATGTCCTGTTTTTAAATTAAGATCTAACCTGCCAAAATTTTCTCTTCCTATGGTATTCAGAAAGAATAAATATTTTAATTTCCTTCTACGCAGCATAATTCATGCTTTATATTGAACATTTCATTATTACCCTCCTTTGGACACCTGCGCAGTTATGTCAGGAGAGGTAGCATTTGCTAGAAAAGATTTGTTCATGAAAAATACTGTTGTTTTTCAATGTTATAATTTCATGCTTTCTTCATAAATTATTTTTGTAGGTGTTGATGGACATGTTCCATCAAGATGAAGAAGACATAAGTGTCCTGTCTTTAGCTGAGGAGGAGCCCTCTACTTTGGGGGAGCAAATGTACTATGACCTCGTGAAGTCATTTATGGCAGAGGTTAGACAGTACATAAGGGAACTGAATCTCATCATTAAAGTGTTCCGGGAGCCTTTTTCCTCCAATACAAAATTATTTTCAACTCATGTAAGTATAATCGTACTATTAAGAGGATTCTTTTCATATTCCTTAAATTGTACCGACTGACTTTTAAATTATCCATTCTTCAAATGAAAAAATTACAAATATATGCTTCTGTATTTCAAATTCATTACTTATAGTAAAACTTGTAGCATGTATGGTCTAAGGAAGACAATTTTGTTAGTTAATATGGGATATATGAAAGGTCCTTAAAGACAATCTATAAGCATTACAACAACTTTAGCTTAATTAGGTTTATAGATCATGCCTTGCATCCTTCTCATCCTCTGTGACTCACTGAGCCTTCCTACACACTTTCTAAAAAATAAAGTTAAATAATTTTTGTTTCCTTTATTGCATAGTGTTTTATTTAGCCTTGTGTGTGATTAAAGTTCAAAGGACAAAGCATGAGATAAGAACTAAAAAAAGTAAACGCATTGTAATATCTGATTAAAATTGGGAAGAAGACGACTAGGGCTGCATAAACAAAGTTAGTAGATATACCCCAAATGGAAACTTGCTTGCATTTAATTCTAAATTGCTTTCATTAGGGATTTATTTAAAAACAGCTTGCACAATCTGCAGATCTCTTGTTTGCTGCCTTTGCAAGCCCTACTTTTGTAACCCAGCCCAGACTATGACTGTCCAATCAAAGTCTTCCCAATGCAGCTCAATGCGAAGTCTTTGCGAGGCAGGTGCTCTGGGCAATTGGGTTTAGTGCAAATAAGCCAACCAGACCAGTTGTCTGCTTGAAAAGTCAGGTGAGTGTGTAACCAGGTTAATTTATAAATGTGTAAATTTCTATTGAAATTTGCACTTTTTCCAAAATGGAAAAGAACAGGATACACTCTTCACACATAAAACATGCTTATGGGGCCTGAAGTGTCCCTTTAAGCTGAATTTGTGTTAGTGTGTGGAGTGTCCCTTTATGAAGACTTGGTTTGCATGGATCTGTAGAATCATTAGGTCGTTGCATTCAGCTCTGTAATTCACATGACTATGTAACCGTTCATACTCCAATTTACCGCTATAACGTCTTATAACTTAGAATTTAGCAGGGTTAACCATACTTAGCTAAAATATTGTATAGTCGGTATAGAGTTTCTCTATTTAAAATACATAAATAATTGAGAAAACAATAAAAATAGGAGTTGGAAGCAATAACTTTTGTCTTATTAATATAGTTTATTGAATATAAATGAATACAGATAGTAATCCATTAATATATCATAAAGCAGAGTATATAAGATTAAATGAATAAATGCTTGCAATATAATTAGTATAACATACCCTCCTGATTATACAGGTAATCTCTCAGTATGTCACCTCCAGAGTCGGTCAGTAAGTCTCTACCTAGCATTGATCATGCATGTATATATAGTATAGCATTTCTAATTACTACTGGTAATGTATGGGTTAATTCATTTTAGGATTAAAAGCAGTTCATATATAAAAATAAACTAAAAACACCCTTATCAGTCTAATGTCATAACCCAGACATCTTTAATCTGTATTTGGACTAGAAGTTAGGTTGACATACACCTTAGGGTTAAGAGAAGGTCATATATAAAAAATAAGTCTGTCATAAGCTAGACATCTTTAATCTTTATTTGGACTAGACGTTAGGATGACATAGACAAAGCCTTGAATTGTTATTGCATTAAATTAAGACAAGATGGAGTAAACATGTTGTGTACTGTAAATAGGTAAAAGGTTATTAGTTAAAGAAACAGTTGCAGTTTAAAGAAATACAATGTAGCAATGTGTATTATACCTACAATTGCCCATCACAACTGAATATTCTTAATTTATAAACCCGGCTCTATCTAGGATGTAGAAAATATATTTAGTCGAATCATTGATATCCATGAACTTAGTGTGAAGCTTCTCGGCCTTATTGAAGACACAGTGGAAATGACAGATGAAGGCAGTCCTCACCCGTTGGTAGGAAGCTGCTTTGAGGATTTAGCAGAGGTAGGTTTGAACATCCTGTTTTTGAATGAAACAATGCTGACCTTTGTGTTTTTTGAATTGTAAAGGGAATTTACTTTATAGCAGTATATCAAACAACTAGAGAACTTTTTTTTTTTTTTTTTTTGCATAAATTTTAATCCCAGTTCTTGCAAGGATATATAATAGCATTTACAAAAGTATACTCTTTCTAAAATTCCTCCAAACCTGTGCTGTAAGCACAAATAAAACAAAATAAAAGTATGAAGACTTAAAGTGAGTAGATCTTGTGGTCTGAAATATCTTTTCTCAGAAATGATCTTCTTGTTTTGATCAATTTTAATTCTATATCAGAAAATCTTAACAAGGCCTCAGCTAACCACTAGGTGGAGGCAATTGCAAACACAATCTTTATGCAGTATTCTTTATTGTGACTATAAACTGAAACAGCCAAAAATAAATACACTTATTAAAAACGTATTTGTGAAATAATGAAAAAAGAATCTAAGTTTCTTGTGTTTGAAAAACAGCTGTTGACTTACACATTTAATGCCAGTTTAAATTTTGAGGTGTTTTCATAACCTGGCATGTAGTCACATATTAAAATTACAGCAGCTCATAATTTTATCTGTATATAAAGTGCAAGGACCCAGCAGACCACTTCATAAAATGTGGTGTCGGGGGCACTGCGTGCAAAAACATAATCTACAAGGATGAACTCATGGTCTTTTGAACAGCAAAGGCATTTATATTCAAGACAGTTAGCAGCACATCAGCATTTCAGTTTACAGAGTGGGGTTTACAACAGGAAAGTCTCACTCTCTGGATTGAAAAGTTGACATGCTGCAACATGATGTTAACTGTCTTGAAGTCATAAAAGACAGAGGTCCTTTTTCTAAAAAAAAAAACAATTAGTACAATCCTTCTTGTTTAATCTTTATCATCAGTAATATATGAAAAAAAATAAGAGTACATTTAAAACTCTGTTAATGACTATTTGTTAATTGCTGCTTCTGCATTGAGCTCTCACAAAGCTTTAAAAGAATTAAGCCAATTGTAATGCTCAGGTTTCTATAGCACCTATACACCCGAGCAGACCTGCTTTCTAAGTAAAATGGGAATATACTCTCAGGGATTACATATCACGTCATGGGCAATGCTAAAATAGCTACTGCTGTAAAAGAACAAACAGATCTTCATTATACACTCTCAAAAATGATTTTGTAAAAATATGCACTATTTACCTCATACAATTATCTTGGCAAACATATTCCTCAAAACATCATGCAGTATGCACATTTATTTAAAGGTTCGCTATAGGGTCAGGAACACAAACATGTATTCCTGACCCTATAGTGTTAAACCCAGCCATTTAGGTGGCTTGCTCCGCCTACTCAAAATGGGTTAAAACTCACCTTATTTTCAGCTCTCCACAGGTCTGCCGACACTGGCCCCACCCCCTTGGTGACATCGTCAAATTGCTGCTTTTTATTGGTTAAAATCAACAAGGGGGTGGGGCCAAACACTTTTTTGGCCAATCAACACCTCCTCATAGAGATGCATTGAATCAGTGCATTTCTATGAGGAAAATTCAGCATCTCCATGCAGAGCGTGGGGATGCTGAACGGCAGGGCTGCTTACTGTGCAGCCCTGAGCCAGGAGGCCCCTCCAGTGGCCCTAGGGGCAATGTAAGCACTCTCTTTTCTCTGAAAAGGCAGTGTTTACATTAAAATACCTGAAGGGAGCGATTATACTCACCAGAACAACTACATTAAGCTGTAGTTGTTCTGGTGACTATAGAGTCTCTTTAAATGCCTACAATATTTTCATAAAACACAGTTTGTTTGGTTTGTGTGACCCTTGCTGTGCTGGTCAGCTCACCACACCAAATTTACAAAAATTAGTGAAACAAAGCTAAAACATGCCTCCATCCAGCTCCAAGGCCAATTTCTACCTTTAGCCTAATTCTTCAATGCTGATGCCATTCCCTCTCATTGTCAGGGAGGGTAGGCTGAGGGCAGAAGTGGTGTGCCTTGAAGGGGGAGTGAGCATGTTGCCATTAGACACCCATAACCATCATGCTGTGCAAGCTGACATTAGACCTTCAAATATGCTCAGAATTAAGCCACCTGGCAGCAGAGGGGATAAACTTAGAATGAGCAGAGTTTCATAGTGAAACGCTACACATACAGACTCCAGGCACCATTTTAATGGATTTAATTGATTTTTAATATTTCCGTTTGTCATGTTTTGTTCATTGTGTTTAAAGACATAGAAAATAAATGTTTCTTTAAAACTCATGTATTTTCAGGAGCTTGCCTTTGACCCTTATGAGTCTTACGCTCAGGATATCTTGCGGCCAGGATTTCATGATCATTTCCTTGGTCAGCTTTCGAAGCCTGGTGCTGCTTTCTATCTTCAGGTATAATAAATGTTGAGAGTGTTGCATAACGTGGTTAAAACCGAGCCAGTTGTTCTGGGTAATTTTTGGGTATTTGTTCATCTTTTTAATGAGATATTTCCTTAAATGATTGTGAGCAATAGTGTTAGTGCAATGTTTTTTAAACCTGTCCTTAGGAGCCATTTAACAGGCAGGTGTTTATTGATATCACTCCTACAACATGGTCAGTGGTTCCTGTTTTTTCTTGCACACCTGTACACTAAGAATGTCTTGAAATCGTATCCTTTTACTCAATCCTTAGGACTAGTTTAAAGAACACTGGGTCAGAGGGCAGCAAATAAATGATTTCATACATTTGAGTTCCCATGTTTAACTTACAATGCAGTGTAGTTCAGAGTGCTATACCGTTTTGCTTGTACTTTCATATGGTATGTGGTGTATTTGAAAGAACTTTTCAAACTTGTTGCTAATGTTTTTTATTTGTTTTGTTTTTTATTTCAGTCCATATGTGAAGGTTTTAAAGAAGCTGTGCAGTATGTTCTGCCTCGACTCCTCCTTGCTCCTGTTTACTATTGCCTGCACTACTTTGAATTCATAAAGGTAAGGTCTATTGTTTCGCCATTGGCTAAGTTAAGTTAGTACAATGATCGTAGTTTGTATCAAAATTTGTGCAGGATTTCTATTTTGTATCAGACGTAGGATACTTAAAAGATAAATGTTTTAATATTAGTGTTATTTGCATCTTCAGGCTCCAAATGATTCATACTAATTATAATTTTTGTTTTGTATTTTTGACTTTGTGTATTATTGATTTGTAACATAATTTATGTGCTTACTTTTTTTTAAATCATATTTATTCTAAAGTATTGTCTTATATGTTTGAAGGTACTGAAAATTTTTTTTTTACAATTTTCCCTTTTACCTGGTCCCTTCAGGCACCGAGGATTTAATGATGGCAGCTGTACCGCTTCTGGTTTCTGCAGTGCTGCCAATCCTGCTGCTCATTCGTTGGCTGAGAGCATCAGCTCATCATTCTCAGCCAATGAATAAGCATCTGTGCATAGAATAATGAACAGAATTGATATTGGCTAATCATGCTTGTCACGAACGTGGGCTATTGTCCCAGCCGACACAGTGGGTAGAGTGTGGAAGTGAAAGGGTTAATGACACCTGGCCCCTGGTTACCTGTCCCCTAGTCCCAGCAAACACTAAATTAACCCCTGCATTCCCTTCTACAATAACATCCTAGTACACACTTTACTGCCACCACCAAGACTTTATATCTGGGTGTCTTAGGTTACCCAATACACAGCAGAATTATAATATCACAACCTTACTTTACTGATCAGACATATATAATTAACTCTTTTTGGTAACATGTTTACCTGAGCTTTCCTCAGAAGAGTGAGCTCATAGAGAACAAAGACACAAGCTGATTAAGTAAACATTTATTCTGACAAAAAGGATTCACAGTGCTGTGTACAAAAATACAGAAATAAATGACATACAGAAACACAGATAACACATTGCAAAGCATAAAATCATAAAATAAAATAGGAGAAAAAACCCTACATATATTTACCGCTTATATATAATTCTTGTTGGAGTTTCAGATGCTACAGGTCTCAAAGTAGTTGTTGAAAAAAGAAAATCTCCCTCTGGATGGTCTAACATCCTCAATATATACCTTAAAACTAGTTGTTTTTTGGTGGGCAGACCCCTGGGAGGATCGCATTTTTCCACTCCATATTTTCTTAAACTATGTTGTTCTTTAAAGACCCCAAAGTCAGAGCATATGTACCAATACCTTTTACAATGCCCTATGTCCAGCTCTGGTGATGGTTATCTAGTAGTTTTATGGCTTAGGCCTGGTGTAAGATCAAAGCCTACAGTAAATGTTATTCCGACATGTGCAAAAACAACTCATAACATATATCAAATACCAACTCATTCTTTGGCATGACAATGCTTTTGGGAATGGAGGTACACCTGCAGCAGCAAAGGAGTTAAAGGGACTCTCCAGTGCCAGGAAGACAAATCGTTTTCCTGGCACTGCAGGTCCTCTCTCCCTCCCACCTCCCATCCCTGGTTGCTGAAGGTGTCAAAACCCCATCAGTGACTTACCTGAGGCAGCGCCGATTTCCCTCGGCACTGCTTCTGGGTCCGCCCACGCTCCTCCTTGCCACCACGCCCGCCGGCGGGTCGACCGCATTAGACCTCTCCATAGAAAGGACAGCCACTAGAGGAGGAATTAACCCTGCAATGTAATTATTGCAGTTTATGAAAACTGCAATAATTACAATTGCAGGGTTAAAGGGACACTCCAGGCACCCAGACCACTTCTGCCCATTGGAGTGATTTGGGTGCCAACTCCCACTACTCTTAACCCTGCAAGTGTAATTGAGTTTTTTTTTTTTTTTTTTTAATAAACTGCAAAAATTACATTGCTGGGTTAACTCCACCTCTATTGGCTGTCTAATAGAAACCTGTGCTAGAGTGTTGCTGGACATCCTCACGCTGTGTGAGAACCTCCAGCTTCGCTCATTTCCCCGTAGGAAAGCATTGAAATGCATTTCCAATGCTTTCCTATTGGGAGCGCTAATGCGCATGCGCGGCATTGCCGTGGACTGCACATTAGGTCTCCCCAACCGGTGGGTGGGATCAGTCTCGCCCACCAGCCGACGCAATCAGAGGGAGGAGCAGCGCGGAGGAAGAAGCAGCGACGTGGGACATAGTCGCTTCCTCAGGTAAGTTACTAAAGGGGTTTTCACCCCTTCAGCAACCGGGGATTGGGGGGTGGGAGGGAGAGGGGACCTGCAGTGCCAGGAAAACGGATTGTTTCTCTTTAAGTGGGAGTTGGCACCAACACCACTCCAATGGGCAGAAGTGGTCTGGGTGCCTGGAGTGTCCCTTTAATTTCGATATGTGTAACATTTCAAGAAACACTGAAGAGGTCTTGGTGCTTGGAGTCACATTTAGTGGCATACAACGCAATATACTTTAGTATGTGGTATTTCATATGGTATATCTTCGACTGCCAAGGCTTTATGTAAATTAGCCACTGTAAATTTCCTTTTCCGTGTAGACATTGGGAAAATAGAGTTTTACCACAGTGACCACTCACTTATTTTTTTGAAGGTGGGAGGGTTTGGTATTTTAGTTGAAGTTTATGATAAGAATAGACTAGACTTGCGTGTTCTGTGCACATTGAGTGTTCTGTTGAACAGCAAAAAAAAGCTGCTTCACAGGGTTACATACAGCAGGTAACTTGACATTATCAATGTCATTATAATGTCAAAATGTTCACTGAAACTGCAAATCGTTTTATATACTTATTCTTTTGTCATCGACATTTAATCAGTGTAAAAAAAAAAAAAAGGTAAATTGCAGAATGTGCATCAATGTGAATAAATAATGTGGAGAAGTAGGTAGAATCCATTAATTGCAAATATGGTGTCATAGTGACAGAGTATAATAAATCAAAAGTTGTTGAATCTTTTAAGTCACATCAAAGGCAGAAAGAACGTGTTAGCTACCAAGATTAAATCACAGAAAAGTATAACAAAGACTTGACTTCTGCTACATGTCTTGAGTAGGTGTTTAATATTTCTCTCAGAGAATGTTGATTGCTCATGACACACAAGAAATGTGCTTTTTATTTAAAAATTTTAGGTTTGTGGACAATTAAAATTAAGCCCCTAGCACCCCATTATAATTGCAATCACATTATTAGAAGCATCCATAACACCACTATTGTTAATGGGGCAAACTGTTTTACAACCAGATATTGATGATTCCTCTCGCTCATTCATTAGCTAACCATTCTCAGCAAATGCGTAACTGTGCATCAAAATTTGCACAGAACTGACATTCCATAGCCTGGAACTGGACGGGATCATAACACCCCCCTAATGCTGTCAGTCAAGGATTTAAACTTGGTATGTGCACCATTTCATAGCAAACATTGCAAATACAGACTTCAGTAACCATGACCACTTCAAATTACCAAAGTGCTCATGGTTGTTGGAGTAACCCTGTAATGTATGAAGTCAATTGTATTTAGGAAGCTTTTGCTTTTTGTTTTGTACTCATTGTAAAACATATGGTTTGTGAGCGATGTCTAGAAAAGTAACCTGGATTATGAATTTTACCTTTTATGTGATTTTTGGCTTTTGTAGCAATTAGAAGAGAAAAGTGAAGATGATGAAGACAAAGAATGTTTAAAGCAGTCAATAACTGCCTTACTTAACCTTCAGAGCAGTATGGAAAGAATCTGCTCAAAAAGCCTTGCAAAAAGGCGTCTGAGGTAAACCTTTCTACCATGTCATGGCTTTCTTCAATAATAAAATGTTGTTGTTTTTTTCATTGTGTAGAGAACATTGAAAGGGGCTTTGCTCTGAACTACACCCACACAATGATCCCAGGAATTTGCTTTTCTTAATTGTTCTTAATATAAACAAAAAATGGCTTACTTGAAAACAATGATCATTAAGCCACATCCGATGTTTTACAGAAAACTTTTAAAACTCCTTAGCTTGAAGACAGTGAGCAGAGATGTATATTTTTGTAAAGCTGCATCCCCTTTCTATGGAGTGTTTTTCCATTCATATTAATTTGAGGTGGGGGGAGGGAGGTTCTGCCTCCAGGTACCTCTCCAGTAAAGACGTACTTTTTGTTGTAGGTATCATCAATAATAGTGGTACAGTAAAAAGCTTTAACAAAGTAATATACGTGAAGTCAATAAAAAAAGGCACTTCCTTGGTGTACTTGTTTCTCAAAGCATTATCCCACAAAGATAAAGTAACATTTCATAGCAAACCAACCACTCCAATTTCTTTTCTCCTAACATATCATAATTTTTTTTTTTTAAATATCAAAAAAATCAATAATTTTAAGTGTATCCAAAAATGTTAAATCTTTTGGAATGTTTATCCAGCAATATAAAATTAAGGGCGAAGTTATTTGAAATGTTTTGTTTTGTTGGCTTTATTCTTTTGCATTCAATACAAGGCACTGTTGGTACAGTCTGGCTTCCAATGAAAATGTAAAGTATTCCATAATTCCCTCTGTGTGATTGGCCATGTCCCAAGGGTAAACATGCACATTTGATACCCATTGTGCTGGGAAGAGCCACAATTTCCAACACAGACAGATTTGTGTTTATTGCTATGGCACACACCACACCCCAGTGAATGTTTAAAAAGAGGGACTTATCCAAGTCAATAGATGATAGCTTTTCTTTATAGCCACTAAAAAAAAAAAAGACATCCCAAAAAAAGCTAACAGTGCCTGACCTTCCTCTGCTGATGATCGCCAGTGGGCTAGTGTGGTCTGAGAGGATGACATAGGTGGCACTGAATGGGGCTGTGATGCCACTGGCTGTCTGGCAATAGCGGTCATTGCGTAACCCTTTAAACAGATATGGGTCTTTACTTCGAAAATCCTTTTAATATAATATCTTGCATTACATTTTTGGCATGCATTGGTCATTTCTGTTGGTCTGCTGCGCTCTAGCAAATGTGAGGGACTCTACCTCCCAGTAACCTTTTTCTAGATAGTTATTTCTGTAAAATGGAATGCTCTCCCTTTTAAACTATTGGTTTGGTTTTTTTTCCCTCTTTTACACTTTCTTCGTAAGTAGTGACTTCAAACAGCAACTGTTTGAAATTCTTAAACTGACAGTTGAAAGTAACTAAAGTGCCCTATTTATTTTTACTTTGTATTGTTGTTCTGCTGTTAGTGTAAACAGAAGAGAATACGATTAGGTGGGAGTGCCCTGGTCTTGTCTTTTGTTTTTAAAGGAAATGACATTAAAGCTGAGATATAGTTATTGTCTGAAAGCCTTTCATATTTAGCTGCACTTGCAATCTTAACTCAAGTCAATCCAACAAAGACGGCATTTGAAGCCTTGTAAGCGGCTAAATCCAGGTTTGATTCATCTTTTTACCAGATACCAGTACTCCCATTAGATATCAATATTTACGTTTATGTCAAATAATTATGGGAGGTTTGAATCCGATGTTCAGGTTTTTATTATGTTTTGTGCTTCACTTTGTGTCTGTTTCTTTTCTTTCTTTCTTTATATTTGTTTGTAATTATATTATCATTTCTTAACTTATAGATCAAAATGTGTAAATGTGTTTGCATACGTAAATGATGGTCTTGTTTGGATTCTCTCTCTTTTTTTTTTTTTTTGTTTTTTGCCTTTTAAAGGACAAGCTGAGCTGTGCCATTTAAAAGTAACTTCTTAATTATTAGGGGCAAAATAATTTTTTTTGACAGGTTATCTGCAGCTTGAATATTTGCTTTAATTCGTTAATTTTGTAACAGGATTTTCATTGAAAGTTGATATAATTCCAGCATTGCCTTTTTAATCCTCACATTTCCGATATCGTTTCAGTCAGTATATGCAGACCAACAATCCCTAAATGTAAATACTACATACTGTTCTTTTTGTGATACTTTCACAAATGGTTTTAGGATTAAAAAATATGTTCAAGGATTATAAACAAATAGTCTACACATGATGGCAGTAAATATCATAGGGAATTCAGCCATCTGTTTAGAAGGAAAGTTCAATAGAAAGAGAGACTTTTAAAACCTACACCTCCCCTATAAAACGTAGCACAAACCAAAAGTTTTCTGTCTCTCCTTGGCAGAGTAGGTAGGCTTACTCACTTTAACGTTTTCTTTAGGATCATGGTGAGGTGACTGGAGGCTTCCCAAGGTAGGGGGTTGAGGGTTTTACTCCTTTCCTGGATGCAGGAGACTAAATGGGCACAATCTGATTATTCTGCTTCCTTCACATTTGTTCTATTTCTAAGTTACTGCTAGGAATGGCGGCGGTACGCACAGGCGTCACTGCGTTCCACTGCAGATTGCAGAGTGCTCTGTGCACATGCTCTGTGATCTCGAGTTCCAAGCCAATATTCAAACAGGAAGCTCAATTTCATCATTGTATAAGCCAAGCAGTAACTATCTGGCCTTTGGGTGCATTTCAGGTGTTACCTTGTGTGCTCAAACCAGCATCCTAAGGTTGCTTAAGGTATGAAATAAGATTTTTATATACTTGAATAGTTTTAATAAAAGTTTCTATAGCTGGGTTTTAAAAAATAAAAAATATTATTTTTTTTTTATTTTATTTTTTTACGATTTACCCAATCCACCTGATCTGACAGGAATGAGTTTTTTTTGTTTTTGTTTTACTTTTCACTAGAATTAGTCTTAAAACATAAACCTGTGTTTATTTTCGACAAATAACATACTGAAGGTCTTCTGAATCCTGTTGGCTAACACATTTCTACCTTTTCATTGTACAGTGAATCTGCATGTCGATTTTACAGTCAACAAATGAAGGGAAAGCAGTTGGCCATTAAGAAAATGAATGAGATTCAAAAGAACATTGATGGCTGGGAAGGTAAAGACATTGGACAGTGTTGCAATGAGTTCATCATGGAGGGTGCCTTGACACGGGTTGGAGCAAAGCATGAGAGACATATATTCCTTTTCGATGGATTAATGATCTGTTGTAAATCAAATCATGGACAACCAAGGCTACCAGGTGCCAGCAATGCAGAATATCGTTTAAAGGAGAAATTCTTTATGCGAAAGGTACAAATCAACGATAAGGATGACACTAATGAGTACAGACATGCCTTTGAAATCAATTTAAAAGATGAGAACAGTGTTATTTTTGCTGCTAAATCAGCAGAAGAAAAAAACAATTGGATGGCTGCCTTAATATCCCTGCAGTACCGGAGTACTTTAGAACGAATGTTGGATGTGACGATGTTACAGGAGGAGAAGGAAGAGCAGATGAGACTCCCAAGTCCAAAGCTTTACAGGTTTACAGAGCCTGATTCTGAAGAGAACATTGTATTTGAGGAGAATGTACAACCCAAGTCTGGTATCCCGATCATCAAAGCTGGGACTGTAGTGAAACTCATCGAAAGATTAACTTATCACATGTATGCAGGTATGCTATCAATTATTTTCTTTAGAAATAAATCTGCAAACGTGGCAATAAAGCATGCTTCACTAATATACCTCTTTCTCTTCCTCCATAAAATGCTGTCCCAAGAGATCTTCTATAGTGATCTGACCGCATTGTTTCCCAACGCAGGGCTCGACAAATCCCAAGCACCAGATCACCATGACGACCAGGAAATGTGTCCTGGTTTCCTGGGATTGTGAGCCTCTTCAGCCCCTGAGGTGACCGGCTGTCAGAGATTGGAGGTGGGCAATAGGCTCACGCAGGGCTGAAGCGGGCAGGGTGGCGCACTGTCTGCTCATTGAAAGCGGTGGGAGGCGGGCGGCTGAATGAGGAAGGAGGTCTGCGGGCGGCTGACTTAGTGCGGCAGCGGCGAGGGAGATATCATCTCCCCGCTCTGCTCCCTTGCGCGCCTTCCAGTGATGTGGGGAGCCGGAATATGACATCATTCCGGCCTCGCATATCTAAACCGAGCTCTAGGGAGGAGAGAGATGACAGCAGCCCTACTGGACCCCAGGGAATGCTATTCCACTTCAGCTTTCCCAAAGGTAGGGAAGCAGGCTGGATTTAAAATAAGTGTGTGTGTGTCACTTGTAGAGGCCGTCTGAGTGACATTCACCAGAGGCGTTACCAGACAGCGACAGCAATGTAAAACCCTGCCTTTATTTTAAAAAGGATGCAGGGACAGTATATAGACTTCAAAACAACTACATTAAGCTGTAGTAGTTATGATTTTTTTTTGGGGGGGGGGGTTTACTCCTAATTTCTTTAGCTGGGTCATAGATTTCAAGCAAATTTGTCAAGCCCTGCCCTAACACATAACACTATAAGAGATATATTAATGTGTATGTTTGTGAATCTTCTAAAGTTGTCACAATTTTGCCCTCCTTTGGTATTTTTATACAACCCCTCTTTGCAGTAAGGCTGTTGCTTTATTACATATAATTAGTTTTATAAGATTTAATGTTTGTGATTGAGAGGTAAGAAGAATCAGAGAAGTGAGTATTAGTGCTTTGAAATAACTCCTCAAATTAAGTCACATTCTATATATATTATTTAGCTAAAACAAATATTCTCAGCCTTCGTGAGAGGAAAGCAATCATTTGTACATTGCTTTAGTTTGGGCAGTTAATCATTTTTAAAATAGAACACTACACAAAACACCTACAATTAATTTTTATTTTATTTTTTGTCTTTGTCATATAATTCTGATGTTTTTTGTGTTTTTTTTGTTTTTTTATATATATACACTGGTGAGGACCCAGTGAAAATAATACAGGGAGTCAATTTTGTAGTGCAGGGCATAGATACTTTATAACTCATCGGACCATACCATCTGTTCTCTAGTTTTTAAAGTGTCTGTCAATTTTTCATTCAGTCATTGCTAGCACGGGCTGTGGAAATTTAAGAACTTGACATCGGTAGCCCCACCTATTAGGTGTTTACCATGAGACAAAGTAGTCCCTACTTTGTCTTATGACAGGGGTGGGCAATCTGCAGCCTTCCAGATGTTTTGGACTACATATCCCTTAATGCTCTTAGGGCCATAATGCTAGCAAAGCATCAAGGGAGATGCAGTCCAAAATATCTGGAGGGCTGCAGATTGCCCACCCCTGTCTTATGATCTCTTTTGACTACATTGCAACTTCAGTGAACTTAATCTTATTGGGCATTGGTAAACATTTTTTTTCTTTATAAAATCACCCCAAAATTTAGTTTTGGTTACAGAGCCTCTTTAAATAAGTCTAATATGTCATGCCCCCCTTCTCCATCATTATTCTTGATTTTCCTTAAATCTTTTGGAAAAGCATTCCTTGTATCAGACACCACTTGGTTGTAATACATATTTACTATGTGAGGGGGCACAACACAATGGGGGTAGCTTTAGTTTGTCAGAATAATTTGCTCTTTTTTTTTTTTTAATGTCGTTGTTCCCTCCCCCCATGCACCTGTTTCATAATTTGCATGTACTTTTTTCATGGTGTTTCCTCACGCCAGTTTTTGGTCATAAAAAGCATAACATTTGGTGATCCATAATTGTAATGGCTGAAAAATTGATGTAAAGGAGAAAGGAAGTGCAACTAGGAGCAGCTCCTAAAAAACAAAAAAACAAACAAACATACAACCTGATTTAGTAGTCTTGTGCTTTTTTTAATTAAAACTCAAATATGCAGGTATTGCAGAATCAATTTCCGTTTGCAGGACTTTGCAGCCATTTCTATTCAGTAAAGATGCGTACAGAGACATCTGTCTCACAGTAGTTATCCATCAAAAACTGAAACCACCATGGAGCAAGAACTGGCTGATAATTTGGAAATGGCTGGGTAGAATCCCGAGACTATTCTTCAGATCTTTAAAATAGTTTTTAAATGACAAACTGCCCTTTACAGAAGAGCTAATAATTTACATTTTAATGCAAGCATGTTAAATAAAGAGAAGGGATGATCATGGATTCATTTTAATCTGCTTGATATGCCTGGTTATACACACAATCATCTGACCTAATATTAATCTATGTTTTTCACCTAAAATATACCCTACAGACTTATAGCAAACCTTTTTAATTATAGGCCAACTAAACAAAACCTTTCATCACAGCGTTTATCTGATTGGCTAATGTATATAGTATGATTTCTTCTATTTTGGGTGCCAGGAACCAATTTCAGGGCACCACAGAAACCTGCCACCCCTTGTTTGTGCCCTTGTGTTCATTAGTGCTATTGGCAATGGTGTTTGTGTATTGGTGTCTGTATAAAGTAGGCATTTTACTTGTCGTCCTCTGCTAAAGGTGTTTTAGCATTCAGAGTAATGGGGGGGCGGGGTGGAGGGGGTACATATTAAAACAAAATTCAGAAACTAAACATAAGCTTATAGCAATGATTGTTTTTAAATGACAATAATTCTAATCTAATTTTAAGTAGACTGTTTTTGTTGCGCTAGTGAAGCTGTTTAAATAGCTTGTATTCCTAGTTTATCATTTTCTTCTAATGAGCTGCAAGATAGAATAGTGGACATTTTTTCTTATTCACTGTAATGTGTGTTATTTTTTATATCGCTATTGTGATTTATAAAGGGGTGGGGGGAGCAGTGGCCAAATCATTTTGTGGCTTATATCCAAAGCAAACATTGCATTTCCAAACTACTCTGCAATAAAAGTTGACTTCTTGGCATTGTGCGTGAAATTGACGATAGAGGAAGATGTGGGTTGGCCTTCTCAAACAGAAAAATACTTGTTACTTTGTTATTAGAAGCTCAAATCCAAAGTAATGCTGTCTTCTTAATGAGCAGTGTCTGCATCTGCCGTAAGAGGAAATGGCCTGTCTGCTATCTTGTCCTTTTTAATTAATTGCATTACTAAGAACTATGGTTTGGGTCCTGACTTTCTCCTACCAACTATTGTTCTTCTAGTCTCAGCCAATCTATTTCTAGCTCTCTTTTTGTATGCAAAAATAGCATGCGTGCGTCAGAGTGATGTCTATTTCCTTTCTTAAGGAATTCAAGGAAGATTGTTTAGAGCTAATTGTAGGTCACTATTGTTTGTTTTTTATCCCCAAAAAATTATTTATAGCTGAAACAAATTAGCTTATAGACTTTAATGTGTTAAACTGTAGATTTAGCAGTATATGATAACCACTTTGACCATTCACCATGGCAATGATGTACAACCTGGCGCAGTTAAATGTATTTAAAGGTGGGCAAGGAATGCCATATTGTAAACACAGTTCATTAATACGTCTGTAAGGGGCTGCAGTGTAAAAATACAACGTATTACCATAAACCTTCTAGGCCCCCCTTTGTAAATGCACTGATAATGTGAAAATTAGACTACTGCATTTTCAAGTGTGAATGCATCCAGCATTGAACAGCAGTGATATACTGATAGCACTGAGGGAAGGTGCTTTCTTAAAATAAAATATGACTACTAAGGAAAGGAGTATTGATGTTTTATCAACACTTGCTGCTGATTTATAGTTATATTTGTTTTCAATATTGGGATTGGACCATCACTAAGGGGAAAGATTCATTGTTTGCGGTACATGCTTATGACAAGTATGTTTACTCTTTTCCCTCACTTACATATACATATTACACTCACATTAAAAGTTATAGATTTGATCTTTAATATTTCTGATATTGAAAATCATCAATTTAAACTGCTGAATAATATTGCCTGTTGGTCTATGGTAATCAGCAGGTATCTTGTCATCTTTTTAGAACTATGAGTCCAGTTATCAAAAGCTTTGTTAAAAGCTAAACTTTCTTTAAAGTTGTCTGCAGAGGAGATGATATACATTATTTTCTGTGTTTACATGTTTCCCTTGTTTACAGGATGTGAGAGTGTCAAAGATACCCTTAAAAAGATAGTGTTTTGGGCAGAACCAAGCAACTGACCTGAATGGCTGCATGCCGCACGAGCTCTGCACAAAACAAGCATTCCGGGCCCGCAATCACAGGCCAATACCGGCACCAGACTGACCCACAGATCGCTGTCAACAACATGGGCTGAAAAACCAAAAAGCCCAAGCCCCACAAGCTGCGGCAAAGCCTAAATATCGGAGACCTCTGGAGACAAGCGTCCAGGGCCCAAACATGGCCGCCTACAATGACGAATGCTCTGATGTCTCAGACGACTTTACAACAGTTGTGGAAGCGGAGCACTCACCTGCTGTGATGGGAGCACTCACCTCTCCAGCGGAGCACTCACCTCTCCAGACTCCCCCACGGCCAGATTCATCTCCGGTGACCACTGCAGTCATGAAGGAACTACTGGCGGGGCCACAGCTCACTATACAGGCAGACATGGCCCAACTTCGTAAGGACCTGCAAGGTCTGACAGGCCGTCTGGAGGCTGACTTCCGCCAAAGTACACAAGAAACAACTCCTGCAGCAAAAAGTGCAAGATCTGAAGCAGCAGCACCTTATCTATGATCAACGCTTTGCGGCACTGGAGAATCAGAGAACAGATCCCGGAGGCCGAGATACCACACGTAATACGGCGACTCCTGCAGGCACTCTTGCCTCCCAAGCAAGTGACCATGGAGAAGATGTTTCGGTTACCAAGAGCAGGAAAGGCCCCAACATCGGCAAAGAGAGATCTCCTGGTACATTTCTAAAACCACAGGGACAAAGTAGCAGTGATACAAGCCACACAAAACCACTCACCCTACCCATTTGAGAACATGCAGTTCTCCTTTTATGCAGACCTGTCTGGGTACACACTAGCTTGGTGACGGTCACTCCAGCCCTTCACAACTCTCCTACAACTGGAGCGGGTCTTGAACACTGTTGGTCCACCATGGGGACTCTGCCTCCACTATAAGGGACAAAAGGGGCAAAATAACCGCTGCCTATCTTGGGGCTCCAAGTGTACTCCGTGTCCCTCACGGAGAAAAGTACCACACCAGCACAATCTTGCACCTGGACCCCGCAAAAGTGGTCCCGTTCGTCCCCAGATGTGCCAAGACAGCGGCTTATGCAGCGGCCACTACCTGATGCAGCCACAAGTGCCAACCTGCTTCCAGACCTCCGGTTCTAAGCAGCACCAACCCTTTCAATGTTTACATTTGAATGCATGTTAAGATGTTTTGATGTTTTAATGTTTTTCTTATGGCAACCCTCACCACTGCTAGCCATACAATGCACCACCACGCATCACATTTTATAGCTCCCTCAAATTTCCTTGCAAAAAGATTAGCCCTTCCCCACCTGGGGTAACAGGTAAACTTAAGCAGCGCTAGATCGAGGTATTTGAGCTTCAACCTCCCACAAAACGCAGCCTAGCTACCCCAGGAAGACCTTGCACATTACCTACCATCTTCTCCCACCTTCCTCACCTATAACTAGCCCACACCGTAGGTCTCACCGGAAAACACCTTGAACATCCTAGGTGGAAGAGGCATGTTCACATGTAGAGGCAAGATCACATGTAGACACCAATAATATTAAAACACAAAAATCCTTGGCTCATGGTCCACTACTAATCTGAGACAAATGCTCTGTCTAATGTGTACAAATTACTTTTCATATTCTCTTGCACTTATACATGATATGTACTGTTAACTGTGGCTATGACCTGAAACTAAAAATAAAGAATTAAAAAGATATTTTGAATTTATTTTTTATTTTTTTTAAAAGCATTGTATAGATCGGTCATAACAAATCGGCAAAATGTGTGTATATACATACATATAATATACTGCTTGAGGTATCTCTCTGTGTACACCAATAAGGAGTGTCTCACTCTGTTCTCTTGGGATTGATCCTATCCCATATCTCTGTGTCCCCAAACAGCAAGTCCTGTCATCACATGTGATGAATTTAATTGATCAATAAACTGATAAACTGAACCATATCATGTTCATTTATTACAGAGCCTAGTTCCTTGTTTAGTGATATGAGCTGTGTTTTGTACTGAGAAAAGCCATTTACCATGCAGTATCTGTAAAGCGCTGCATTCATTGTCGTGTGTCTTGAGTACATTTTGTTTGCTTGTGAACTGGTAGGGATATGTGACTAAATAAATTGAGTATGGCAAGACATGTAAATAAATAGAAGGCTTAACAATGGAAATTAATATGGTTTGATAATCATACTGCATAGTTTGGGGATATCTGAGTCGGAACTCGGTTTTAATACAGTAGCTGCTGGTTTAATGCTGCAAGGTTGGGGTTAATATAGTGAGTATTGAGTTTAAAAACTTAGGTTCATATAATACAAATGTATTCAAACATTTGGTGTTGTAATGCAGTATTTCTCAACCTTTTAAAAAGAACTTTAAATTCCAAATGAAACTGATATTTAATCCATATTGAATTGCAAGCCTGATTAAAAGTGGTAAATAATATTTGGAAATTTAAATGACAGAATATTGTGTATGTAAGGAAGAGTGTTTAAACTATTAATCTGAAGTATAAATGTCACAAAATGAAAATATAATACACTTAATAATTACACGCAGAGGACAATGACACACATTTACACAGAGGATACTGACACGGAAGGTTACACACAAAGCACTGATACACATTTACACACAGAAAACTGACACAGATACAGGCATACACACTTACAAATTCTTTTTTTTTTCATTTTTATCTAATGTTATTATTATTTAATCCCACCCAGACTCCCTAACGTTGGGAGTATTGGAGTGGATCCTTTGTCTGGGGCTTGTGCAGTGTTTGTGCTCTTCCAGTTATGTTTCTGCTCACTCGGTTTAGTGATGCTGGGGCCGAAGTGATGTCATAATCTGGCACTTGGCATAACTGCAGGGCGTGCTACAGAGCAGTTCTGGAATTGCACATTCATCAGCATTCCCACTTGCATTCTCCTGACACCGCACATTCACGGAGAGTTGGCACCTGGCAACTGGGCGAGGAGTCAGTCAGCTGTGCAACCTTACCCCTGCTTGTGGTGCACGTACCCCCTGGGCATGCATACCACAGGTTCAGAACATGTGTTGTAATGTGGTTCACAGAACATGTTTAGTATTTTAGTTTATTTTTCTGGCCTTCATGATGCTGCCAAAATCAACAAACCAGTGGTGCATTTAGATGCATCAGAGAAGTATTAAAAAAAATAAAAAGTGAAGTTTTTTTATACAGATATTGTAAGGGAACGCTCGAGGCTAGAGTTGATCTCAGTAAGTGATGGATAATACAAGTTCTAAATTTGCTATATTAAGTACTGAACATCTTTCAGCCAGTTATGTAACTTACATTTTTTTCAGTGGGAGCTCTGAGCACATCCCTGAAATGTCCTCAACACTAAAGGCTGGTGAGGACATAAAATTAGGTATGTGCATAGAGTGGGGACTTCATACACCATAACTGGAGTGAGGAAGGCAAATATGGCTTTTGTTGCATACTTCTAGTAAATTTGAGTGTAGTGTTTATCAGCAGAAACATTTTAATATTTTTTAAATACACACAAATGAATACATTTTAGCATACATTTAGAATAGAGAAATAGAAAACCTTTTGTAATGTCCATATTTCTTTATTTTATTTTATTTATTGTTTTTAAACTTACAAACCTAAATAAAACAGTCTGTGTTGACTGTTTCAATTAGTGGAGGTTCTTTGACCTATCCAAGTGAACAGTCACATTTTTAAAGCAGGAAACGCACTGTGCAGCAGGAAAAGGGAGAGGTGATGGTGAGACGTCAGCATTGTAACTAGTTTCACTTCAAGGCTTCACTAATTGGGAAAACAATCCATCAAAAGTGCCCTTTTCCCTTCATTTTAATGTGCACTGTTGTAGTGCTATGGTGGTAAGAAAATTTCAGGAAATTATCACGGCTTTTTCTAAGGCCTCATCAGGCTTTGTACAGTGTCTTTAATTTGTATTAGTAAGTGTGCAAATGTTCACAGGGTTAATCCGTAAAGTCGGAAATGTTAGGAATTCTAAGTCTATTTTAAATTTGAGGCTAAAGTTGCCAAACTGGATGCTTAGCTAACTTGAATTTTTCAGTTTCATCTATTTTGGCGTTCACTTTGAAAAATTTGTGTGAATTCCCAACAAGCTTTCTTTTTTATTTTTATTTTTTTGTGTTTTGTAAGAAGTGCCCCATTGCTGCATCTTTTTATTTTGTAAAATTCGTCAATTCACCCCTTCGTGACCAAGGTTTTTCAAGATGTTGCTCCACCGTAATTTGAAATTGACACCATAAAAGAGAACTGTAACTTATCTGGTGTTTATACTATTGACCAAAACATTGAAAATCTTGTGTTAAGGACCATTCCACGCAACATAACCACTTCAGCTTGGTTTTTATTTACTTATTTGGGAATGTTTTGACGTCTTACCTGGGGTCCACTCAGTGCCATTCTCTGTATACACTACTACTGGCAGAGAGCTGGAAGTCCCTAAGCTGGAACTTTTGTTAGCTCTCATGTGCTAAGTAATACAATACAGGGCTTAACCAATTGGTTGAGATCATCGCCGGTATATGTTCAAGCTTAACCATACATCTATCGTATGAGACAGTTTTATTTTATTTTTTTAAATAAGTTTTGGGGTTACTGCATACATTATTTGTGCCTTGTTGGAAGTTCTTTCTTCTACATTATATTTTTTTATTTATGAAATGGAGTGCCCGTTAGTAGAATATGCATTGATAAAGTAGTTGGTGTCCTTCAGAACTGGCGTTTGGTAACCTCACTGAGTTGTATTTTCTATGGCCTAGCTTACCTTTGAAGATCACAGGTGAACAAGTCTTCTGTATGTTCACCATGATGCTTTCAAAGAAGCTTTTTCTCCAACTTTGAGCAGTCAATTTTGGAAGGAATGTGTGTATGAAAAGATATTTCAGCCATATTCCCAGTGTCCGTTTTATCTGTATCAGCCCTACAGTCTCTGCCATGTTTATTTCCAGTAAGAGTTTTTTCCAAGAAGATTATTATTAAATAAATGTCCAGAGAGCATTACTATCACTTGCTTCCATGTCATGATCCCTCTCCCCTTATCCTGGGTATTGACACTAAAATAATGCAGCTTTATTTAAATTTGAGTAAAAAACTTTAGAAAATATGACCAAGGGAGGTGTTTGGCAGTGTTTTTATTTTGTGTTTTGTATTGTGACATGTTTTTACAATTTTATTATATAAATTTAGGCTTGTATCCCACTTTTGATCTCTGGTATCCCGCTTTAGACATTATAAGGTGTTGACAGTGGCTCAAAAGGCATCACGGTCATATATCCCTACTGTACTGATTTTCCTACTCTCCCAATGTTGAACATTACGCCTGGGAGAATCCAGGACATCCTGTTCTTACCAGCTACCGTCACCTCATTTGGTCAGGAAAAAGGATATAGTTATCTTTTATATGCTCTGTGTATGTACGACTGGAATGGAATAATAATATTCATTAATTTAACAATTCTACGTTTTATATCTCCAGATCCCAACTTTGTTAGAACATTTCTCACAACATATAGATCTTTCTGCAAGCCCCAGGAACTTCTAAGCCTTCTTATAGAAAGGTATGTCACTGACCCAAACTACAGTTTAAATCTTTATTACTTTTGAAAAATACGGTGTGTCTTTGTGTATGTCGGTCTCTCTGTCTGTCTGTATCTCTTGAAAGTTATGGTGGGAAATAGTGATTGAAAACTCCTTCCACCTAAAGTCACTGGATAGTCAGTACATTGTTAAACATAAATCTGCACACCAGTCAAGCCTTAAGACTTGTTTTTGCCTCAGAAATCTCAAGCCCACCCAGAATCCCTTGCAGTAGCAATATCACTGCAAAATTGAGATTTATGTGGAAAAAGCAAGTCTTATTGCTTGACTGGTGTGCAGATCTAGGTTTAACAATGTGTTGACGATGTAAATATATGCTACACTTTAAAGTGCTTACATTTACTGTATAAAATGTTATTGGTGAAATGTTGTTATATATAAAATTAGCCTCAAACGTGTTTTTCCTTTTCATTTTGGAATGTATTTGCAGTAGATTTTGTTCATTAAAAAAAACAGTTTGTCAGTAGCGAATGTGAAATTTTAAAATCAAACTTAAACATGACAATGGGGCTTTTACAGTAGTCTTTTATGTTATATTTTTTATATCATGGTCATTTTAATTAAAATAGGTTTGAAATACCAGAGCCTGAACCTAGTGAAGCAGACAAGATAGCTATGGAGAATGGGGACCAACCTCTTAGTGCAGAGTTGAAAAGATTCAGAAAAGAATATGTACAACCTGTTCAGCTACGGTAAGTGCTGAAACCAACTTTTGTCATGGGTATTTATGCAATATCTTACGGAGTGTGTTCAATACATCAGTTGCTTGTTTTCAAACTATGTGGAAATTAACTGTTGTATGATCGAAGGCTAATATCAGGGATCAGTTATGTTACACAGTAGGGAAAGCAAGTTAAAGTGGCACTCTAGGTACTTTAACCACTGCAGGCAGGCTTTCCGGTCTCCTCTGCTGCTGTTTTGCCAGTATAGACTTTAAATCCACATTATTCCATTTAACTCTGGATGACCCAAATAGTTGGAAACCGTCTGTTTTTCATATCCCTTATACATTAGCCTGTCCAAATTTAAACAGTATTGACAGTCTTGATGACAGCCTTGATGACAGCCTATTGCTCTGTATCTAGCTCCTGGATATTTTTCATTATAGTATTATAGTGATATGCTTTAACTCAGACTTTTTCCTGTTTGTGCAATGTATATTGAGGAAGCCATGTAATGTAGTCATGTGATACAGGTGTGAAACGCATAGCGTCTATAGCATTGTTGTGGACTATATCTCCCATAATGCTCTTACAGCAATAATGTTAGCAAAGCATCAGTGTGATGTAGTCCATAACAATCGGAGTGCAAAAGGTTGACTATCCCTGATCTAGAAGGTGTGTTGTTTTTTTGTTTTTAGTGACTGTTTGTTTTATGGTAAATAAGAAGGGAGACCTTATCTACCTTAATGAGTAGACAGGTAATTGCGATTTTTGCCTAATAACAAAATAAGGAATGGTTTTGCATTTTAAACTCTTAATAATATTAATTTTAATTGTAATAATAAGGGACCACATCATTTTATTTTTTCTCCATTTCAGGGTATTAAATGTTTGTCGTCACTGGGTAGAACATCATTTCTATGATTTTGAAAGAGACCCAGATCTGTTACTACGACTCGAAGACTTTATTGGGACAGTTCGAGGTATGGCATTCTCTGTGTGCTAATCTGTTTTTGTGGCCTGACTTTTAAGATCTTAAGGTTTTTAGTTCTCTGCTATTAACTGTTTAATGACTATTGGTGTTTTCAGGATACACACAGGCAAATGTTGGAGTGAGGTTTACAGATTCCCTGAATGTAATAAACATCAACATAATGTTCCCTTAAAATGATGCTCAAAAATGATCTTGTCATTTGGTTTTTAGGTAAAGCTATGAAAAAATGGGTGGAATCCATCACGAAAATAATTCAACGCAAAAAACAAGCTCAAGCCAATGGACCTAGCCACAATATAACCTTTGAAAGCTTGCCACCTGCCATTGAATGGCACATCAGCAGACATGGCCAGATGGAGACTTTTGATCTACTTACATTGCATCCCATAGAGATCGCCCGGCAGCTGACTTTGCTTGAGTCAGAATTATACAGGTATTTGTCGAGATCTCAGAATTTTTTTGCCAATTTGTTATTCAATATCTTCACCTATTTTCTTCACTGGTATTAAGAATTCCATTCGAAAACACACTTGGGTTTATTCCCAAAACTAGAAAATGTTGTCACTTATCCAGTTTAGTGAATAAACACCTTAGTGTTCAGAATGTTTCTCCATTTACTGTTATTCATCTAGTGAGTAGATCCCTTTGCTGTAATTTCGGTAACAGTGTTTGGTGTTCCTAAAAGTCATGTTGAGATTCCATTCAGTATTTTTACCAGTTGCTATGGGTTTTGGCTCGATCACTGATCTACAGGATATTCAAACATATCACCAAAATGAAAGCACAGAAAAGAAGCAGGTTCCACTTTAAGCATCATAAAAACTATTATTGTAAAAAAAAAAGGGATGGGGGGGGGAATAAACTACTTATCCCACAAACCTGCCAAACAGGAGTTTATGAGATAAGCACAGAACCCATAGACAGAATGAGTCACTTGATTCTGGGAGGGATCTGCCTAATACTAATACTGGCTGAACTAGCAATAGCATTAGAAAATTAAATATATACATTATCTGTAAAATGAAGTAAAGATAGTTTGTTTTGCCTTGTAATTTCCCTTTAAGTGTTTTAACCCCTTAAGGGCACCGCTTCAAACGCTTTTGCATTTAATGACACAAGCAATTTTTACATTTTATTTCTGTTTGCTTTAACTGCAATTTGCATTTTACTAATTTATTGCACGAACACATATTATATACAGTTTTTTTTGTTTTTTTTTAAAGGACAAAAAGGGCTTTAATTTGATGTAACATATACGTATATAAATACTTATTTATTATTTAGAAAAATACCAAAACATGCAAAAAGTAAAACCTTTTTTTTTTTTTATAGGTTTTGCAATAATAATGGTTGCATAATTAGTGCAGGTTAAGGAAAGTAAATAAAAATAAATTATTTTTGTTTTCCGATTTACAGAATATATAATGTGTCTAGGATTTTACGTTTTGGTAGTTGCAGGTCACAAAACACAAGGAGCAAAATAAACGTTTAATGTGGAGCGATTTTAGCATTTGGTATGTTTGTCTTGTAAGTTTCATAGCCATAAAAGAAAACAAAATTGCCACACAAAAGTATATTTTTATATATAGTAGACATCACAGGCTATTTATCTAAGGTTGTTTTGACACTTTTTCCGTAGCCATTTCACCGCCAATCTCTGCTACATATTGGAGTAAAATTGTGGGGGGGTTTTGGTTTTTGACACACAAACTTATAACAAAGATCTTCTCATGTGTATTTCATAAAGTTGGTGTGTGCTATTCCTGTACAAAACTTTATTTTGAGTTCAGCTACATCTGCTGAGTACAACGATACCCCCATTGTATGTCTTTGGCACTGTTTCATGAAGCTACAGTGCCATATAGGAGAGCTGTCCATTTCAGTATTTATAGTAGAATTTTGAGAGACGGATTTGATGGGCCTATGTTTCAATTTGGGGTATTATTGCAGTTTCACTGTTCAAAAGCCCCCCACAAACGCCTACCATTTGTAAAAGTAGACACACCAGGGTATTTCAAAAGGCACATTTTAAACCTGGGCGTAGGATCATTTTTTTGCTAGTTTGTACCAATTGGCATTTTTTTCTGCCCTTCTGACACACACTTGGAGATCTTACTGTATATTTTGCAATCCTATTTTGCTACGGCAGTAGAACACCTAATATGTTGCTCAGCTATGTCGTCTTAGTACAAGTGCATACATTTTGCTGTGAAAGGGGGAATATTTGACATAAACTTATCAGTGGGTAGTAGCCAATCATCTGCGTCACAGGCAATGCTATCGTGGATTCTAAAACAAAAACACACAGACAGACCACAAAGAGAGAAAAACTTGTAATACCGGTCCTTAGAATTGCCAGGCTATACAAGCAGTTAACTAAATCACCAAAATAAAAATAATAAAATAGTCAACGGTCAGAATTTTAGAAAGCCTCCTTGGCCTGAACTTCCTCAGCATCTTTAACTTACAATAACTGGAAATATGTAAACTATATACATATTGATACCCCCACATGATTAAAATCACACCCCAAAACTGGTCTACTTATTCGGCCTGGGTGTGGAAATTTTTTTTTTTTTTTATTCTTTTATTCTTTATTTTATTGAGGCATGTGGTTATGGTGATACAGAAAAAAGAAAGAGGGAGACAGATTAGGGTCACTATAACAGATTACAGAAATCTCCTAGGATTATCAACCTCATTTTATAATATATTAACAAGTTTAGACTATAGGTGGATAACAGGTATAGTATTTGCTAGACAATGTGCATTTCCTGATAAAGGCTCCTAGATAAGATTACATTCAGGTACCATATTCTGTTTGCTGTGTACTTAATACACACTGTGAGTACCTGCAATAATGTCATGTCTAAGTCGTTTCTTTAGACAATGAGGATGTAGAATTCCATGTACATTTTTGTTATTAGATGACATGACGTTTAAACATAACAATTGGAATTTAAGTATTTTCTGTTTCTAGCTTAGCTGAGTAGGTTTTCGCTGTAAACCGCTAAACAAACTGAAAGGGATTAGCGAACATGCTCACTATTAACATGGTGCTAGAAATTAGTATGGTTTAAGTATGTTGGATTATAGGCTATACAAGATAACATCAATTACAGCTTATTTTTGAAGTGCATAGGTTTACAACCTTCGCTTGTGAGGTACCTCAAAGGCAGTCCTCTAGCGCAGTATAACGGGTGAACGCATAGGTACTTGGTAGGTCAGGCACAGTTTTGTGTGGCTATAAACAATATAGATTAACTTTGCATAGATGTTTTCTTAACTTAACATAACATAAATTAACATCGCTGGAAGGTACACGTTTAAGTTATTGAGTGGGTTCCTAGATATAACACTTTAGAGCAGTTAGTAGAGTCTGCACATTTTTAAAAGGGTATTACTGGCATGCATGAAGAAACAGTTGCATTGAATAAGTAGGTGGTATTTGAGCTATGGTGAGCGCTAATTGCCTGGGTTAGTATATAATATTGCTTGCTCCACTGCTGTTGTGGGCAACTAAAAGATAGTGCTGTTAGTAGTGTCTCTGTTGTGAGTTACTGGGGCCAGTTCTGGCTGTATTGTGAAACAGACTGTGCGGTGGGATCTTGCAGTGTCTCTAGAGTGTTGGCAGGTGGGACCGGAGCGCTGATGTGGTGGGTACCTTAGTGGGGCTCCGTCTTTTAGGAGAGCTCTCCATTCCTGTTTGTCCCTGGTGGGTGGCTGTGCTGTTTGCCGGTTAACGTCACTGCTGTTGGCGTGGCTCCTGGGTTGCGGGGATGTGTAGCTGTGGTTGGAGGCTTTAAATGCCGCTGAGAAGTAAGTGGATCGAGTGTGCTTGGTGGTCCTGTGCTGGTGTTGTCGCCCGCGAGGCCTGCCACCTTGTCCCGCCGCCCTGGCTTCCTTCCTTGTTTCTGTCTGAGGGCCGCTCTGGGTGGGTGTCCGCATAGGAGGCGTCGGGTGGCAGAGCGAATCCACGCTGTTGCTTCTTTAATCACTAGCCTGTAGAGCCATCTCCTGGTACTTAGCTTATTCCATAGGTTGGTGCCTAGCCGGTCATAGAATTCTTGCGTGTGAGCGGGTGGCATGGCCGGGACACTGTTGCATGTCGTGTCTGAGGCGCCATCTTGCGTGGGCCCTGACTGCCCTGGGTGCTATCAAGTGTTGTCGCTTATTTGTGTCGCATTGTGGGGGTGACCGTCCCCAGTGAGGACCGGGATATCCCCCGCCGGTCCAGAGGGGAGGGGGGGGGGGTAGCTGGGCATTGTGCAATTCATGCTTTTGAGCGGATCTTTTCTGGGTTTTTGTTTTTGAGGGTGAGGGGAGGAGGGGTTGATGGAATTCTGGAGCAGAAGTGACCTGCCTCCATTCTTCTGCTAGGCTCCACTGATGGTCCACCTCTGGCACTCAAGCAGCCCAGAAATGAGCTGTAACTGAAATGAAAGAAACGTGCATTTCAGCTCAGCATTTGCCTATTTAAATATAACAAAGGCATTGTGGATTGCCGTCTGCATATTATTTTTATATATATATATATATCTATATATATATATATATCTATATATATCCACTTTTTTGTACCATGCCCTGGTGTTTCGCATTATCAAATAAGGCTGCATAAGTTGATCGGACAGGTCAACTCCCCCCATATGCCAATTGTAATGTTTTATGCAGACCGGTACCCGTTTAATTTCCTCTCTGTCACGAACTGTGACCTTGTGACTGTGTTCACCATGGATGGTGGTTAGGATGAACACCTTCTTTTTTTTATCACAATACTTTAGTGCCAGCATAAGCCTCCTCTGCGCTATACTTCCTAAACATTGTGTACTACGGTAATAACTTTAGCTATAAATAAACATTAATTTTTTCAACTTTTTTTTTCTACTTTTAACCCCTAACTAGCTTACGACTACATTCCCCAATTACCACAAAATTCCACCCACCCCAACTAACTAAATTACACATTTATAAAATATTAAAAATGTAACCTCTTAGGGTTACTAAAATATCAAATTTAACCTTGAGGGTGTAAAAAAAAAAAAATAGATCACAGTAAAGTACTGTGATCTGTATTTTGATCACTGCTGGCAGTGATCAATCAGCAGGGAAAGGTTTTTTTTTTTTTTTTCCTTCTAAACACAGGGTAAAGGGGATTTGGAATCTCTTCACACAATTTATTCTCTTCAGGGACACAAAGTAACAACGATCCGTCTCTCTCTCCACTTCACAAACCCAACAGAGGTGGAGAGAGGCGGATCTAAAATCCCAGCAGCATTGTGACCGCTGTGACTGTTTGTCACAGCGTTATTTGATGTTGCTGGTCTGCCACTGACTCGTAGGCACCCAGCAACATCATTAACCCCACGATCGCCAGTCATGCGTCGTTACGTGCTCCCCATGCGTCCTTAAGGGGTTGATATTCCGACTATGTTTTCATATATTTTATAGGAAATGCTGTTTGCCCAGTTAACCTCAACAAGAACCTAGCTATAACATTATATCACGATTAATGTGTCACTTTTGTATTAACAATTTATTTTTTAACTAAATACTTCAAATTGTTTTACTGCAAACCAGACATTTATTTACCTTCATTTTTCCTAGTCTGTATTCTGATATCATGAAGAAATATTGGTGATGAATAAAATCACAAGTGCATGTCACACAGGGATCTCTTTATAGATGATGAAAGTCCATATGCAGTTGTTATCATTACTGAAAGCATACAAACCCTGCACAGCACTGAAAATTCAAGTCCATTTCACTGTATACATATAAATGGGTTGTTACATGCAGTAGTTAAAATTACAGCCACCGTTTGGATCCGCTCTTTGAATAAATGTGTTTCAAGTTACTCTTAACCATAATTTTATTTTTATCAGTTGACTCTTTCAATCTTGTCTTATTTCAATCACCTTTAGGGCTGTACAGTCATCTGAACTTGTTGGAAGTGTGTGGACTAAAGAAGATAAAGAAATCAATTCTCCCAACCTCCTTAAGATGATCAGGCACACAACTAATCTTACTTTGTGGTTTGAAAAGTAAGTTAATCAATAACGATTTCCTTTGTTTACAGGATACATCCGTTTTCTTTCACTCTGTATAAACTCTATCCGGCTTTAGTTCCCAGTGAAGCTGGAGAAATTTTAACATCCATTATTTTCTATCTTACATCTATTGTATCAATTGTAACTACAGAGGTACACAAGTTGTATTTGCATTTGTTGTACCATTGGGGCTTTTTCCTAACTTTTCTGTAGTGTGCCTGAAAAATCAGTCTTTCTGACCCTCCTTATGTTTTTGTTTTTTTGTTTTTGTTTTTTTAAAGGTATTTTTGCTTCTTTTTTTCTTAATGATTACTTAAAGGGACGCTATAGGCATCCAGACTACTTTATCTCAGTGAAGTGGTCTGGGTGCCATGTCCTAACCGTTTTAACCCTCCAACTGAAAACATTGCTGTTCTGTAGGAATAACAATGTTTACATTGCAGGGTTTAAATACATCTGGTGGCTGTCACACTGACAGCCACTAGAGGTGCTTTTTCAGAACTAGCAGAGTGAAACTCTACTATTTCGATCAGGTGCTTTCAGTGCATCCAAATGATTTGTGCAGTGCTCCATAGTTTCCCAATGATTTCCTGCAATGCATTAGATTGGTTGTCATCCATCTCTATGATCTCAATCAAGGATGCGTTCCAAGGAGACTGGTGCACAAAGGGCTGAAAGGTAAGTAAATCTCACCCTTCAAGAATTCACACTGCAGGAGAGTCATTACTATAGCTAGCTTAAAATTGTAGCATTTGGAATACATGTTTGTATTCCTAACCCTATAATGTTTATTTAAGGATACTAAACTGGCCTTCTGAGAAAGGGTAAGGAGATTGCCTTGCTCAGCTCCCTGAAGCCTAAATAGTCAACATCATGAATTTGCAGTTTAAACAAAAAGCCAGGAAAAACAAAAGGAAATCAGTAAATAATAACATGCACACTTTTAGAAATAAATGGCTCCCCTAAGCCTGTTCTAGGACAATAACCGCAAGTAATGGTGATAAATAAGTTTATTTTAGTATGGGTAAAGAGCCAGCTTATGTTGTTTTTAGTGTTGGTTTTGTGTAGAAAGTAATCGTTCCAAGTATAACTTTTCATTTTATTTCCTTAATGTCCATGTGTTTCCACTTTAGCATAATGCACCTCTATAGCCCATTGTCAGTGCCATGCTAGCATAATGCCTGTGTTTTCAGCTACTTTCAAGACCAAGAGGAACTTTTCAATGGGTTCACTTTAGAAACTGTTTACAGCTTGTTAATACCTGGAAGCCTAGTAAATTGTTGAATGTGTAAAGGAACTATAATATCCACATCCTTCCTTTATTGTTGTAGAGTTGTTAAAATGTAAGGCACAGTATTACAAAAATAAAGTAGTAAAACAATATTGTTTTTTTTTTTTTTTCTTCACATTTTCATTCATTTGTTTATTTTGTTTGTCTCTAGAGGCTGTAAACTTTCAATGATTGTGATATTTAATATTTAAAACATCTGTTTTAGCACAGGCAGTCATAAATGTATAATCAGTAAATGTTCAAATGTGTTCAACACTGGAGCAATATTTACGGCAGTACTGGCTAACTTTGTCACTCCAAGAGGTTCAAGTCTATTTGTGAGTTGCCCAACTAGCCTTTAGACTGGTACAGCATCATTCACAAACATCAGCAGTACCACAGTTGGACATCACCAGTTTAATGTAATTTTTTAGCCCTTGTTTTTTGTTCAAAGGTAACATTCCATTACAACTAGAGGTAGCGGGATTCTGATAACAAACTAACCTGGTCATAAAACCGAATGAATTCTGGGGATTTCTACGTTTCAATTCTACCTTTGCAGTGCCTAGTACTTAAATCCTTCACCAACTCTGGAACTTGTTACTGATTGGGAAATATGTGAGCCATAGAGCATTTCTGGTGGCACTAATCTACCTCGGGGAAACGTGTACGATTTGTATCAGTTATTTTCTTTCTAGTAGGTCCAAAGAGTCTTCTGTCCTTTCTCTTTACTTGGGTTGCCATTACTGGTCTAGAGACCTATTCATATACCAATGCTTTTCATTTTGTTGAGTTCAAGAGCTTCCGCAAGTTTTTCATTCATACATGCAGTGTTTGTTTTAAAAAGTTGGTTTCTACTCTGGTTACAAATCTGCTGTTCTGCTGAGTTTGTTCCTCGTTCATTATTTCTTAAAATATTTTCTGTTATTTTAAACACACTTGATTTTTCTTGTCTCTTTTGTACACAGGTGCATTGTAGAAACTGAAAATCTTGAAGAACGAGTTATAGTTGTGAGCCGAATCATTGAAATTCTCCAGGTGTTTCAAGAGCTAAATAACTTTAATGGTGTTCTCGAGGTTGTAAGTGCCATGAACTCGTCACCCATTTACAGACTGGACAACACGTTTGAAGTAAGTGGTTGCAAAATGGCATAACATTTTTTATATCTTTTATTTCTCTACTGAAAGTCAAAGCTTTGTAACAATATAATTTCCAATCTTTGCCGACCACGAAACCACGGAGGACTCGCACTCCCGGATATCACGAAATATCATCAAGCCACGATAATGCAACGGATACTGGACTGGCACCAGGACCCCACGACGAAACAATGGGTAGAGCTTGACAAAGGCCTACTCGGACCATCACTCGAGATGGAGATATTGGGAAGTGCGAGGGGTCAGGTATCCAACGGAAACAGGGGGCCTGATACGACACACGCTGCTCGGCTGGAGGTCGCTGAGGAACCTGGGCCACATCTCGCCTACCCCCAGCCCCATGATTCCGATTACGCATAACGTGACTTTAGGAGGAGGACTACCATCAGGGGCATGGCCCATCGCGGGCACTAGGAACTATATCCCCATCTATCAAATTCTTGAAGGGGGCAGGTTGTGGGACCTGACCTCACTGTTGGGGACAGAACCTAGGACCCCTCTTGTGGTCCTCAGATACCTACAATTGCAACATTACTATAACTCGATGCCACATAAAGATCGCCTACATCGCGATCTCACCTGGTTTGAAGGCCTATGCGTCCGGGGCACCCCACTAGGCCACGCAATCTCGGCGATGTACCAAGACTTATAGGGGATACGACTCAGGCCTCCACCTTCCGCCGTCAATGGGAGGAACAACTTGGAAAGACACTCACACCCGCACAATGGGATGCAGCATTACTTTGGCAGCAGAAAAGCTCTATGAGTTCGTACTACCAGGAGGTCAACTACAAATTGCTTTCATTATGGTACAGGACCCCGACCTTGTTGCACAGGATCTTCCCATCAATCACCCCATTGTGCTGGAGATGCCAGGCAGAACGCGGCACGCTGATACACATATGGTGGGAATGTAGGGACTTCGTCCCATACTGGGCGATGATTAAGGAAGCCGTAACCGACATCCTGGGAGGACTTCCGGAATGGAGCGCGGAGCTGGCCCTGTTACACATCTCGACACAACCCATCCGGACGTACAAAAGATCTATACTACGCCACTTGCTAAACGCGGCCAAAGCTAACATACCGGCACTCTGGAAACAACGCAATACACCGTCGAAGAAAGAATGGATCCGCAGGGTGGAAGACATACATGGGGTGGAAGACATTCACGCCTCCCTGACCGACCGTAAAACGAAACATATGGAGATGTGGCTCCCTTGGTTCATATACATTACCCAGTACAGACAAGCAGAAGACGCTCCTGAACCCACTAATGGAGCGGCAGCAGTCACTGGTTCCACTTGACGCAGACCAACCCACCCTACACCCCTTTCTTCTATACCTATCCTTCTCCACCTCTGCAATCACTAAGCTAACAGGCTCCGGGACTCGGGGCAGAGGGACAAGGCTCAGGGGGAAATACCATTGGACATGCAATTTGCTACACTCTCACGTCACATATGCTTCTAGCCCTCGCGGGGCCTGAACGATCAATCATAGCTTGGGGAACATGAGATATACTTGGATACACACACTATTGTGGCACGAATCGAAGTAAGGGAACACACGTTCATAGCTTACGGTCATGTACCACGTAGACCTACATCACACTCACTATATGCTAACGCTGGTACACACACCAATGACATAGTACACTCACTCACACTGGACAATTGCATTGTTACTGACAACTACATGTAACTCGCAATACGGGATACTGGCGAACTGCAGGCTCTGCCGGGAGTGGTAACGACGTTGGCCATAGCCAATGCTAGCTACGAACTAAGACTACTCCCACCGCTTCTGCGTGCTAGGATATACCTAGCGACACCAAAACGGAACTACGAATCCGAACCCAGCGGGAGCCAGTGACCCGCCTTTCCTATAATTGCTTCAATTCCCCGCCCAAACGACCAGGTAACACATTGTCATGTGGCTCCCGCCATAGACCGCTGAGAACAACTTGTCCCGACGCAACTTCTGTTTGCCCTTTACACATACTCTGGTTAAGTGAGGCAATCTGATTGCTCCAGACGTTCTATTCTGTATGATACTACCGTTTCTCCCCGTCGTATACCTACACTGCCTTCAAAGTGTGAACAGCATATTCACCTTGCTCGGGGACCTGCGAGTCTCCCTATGGAAAGTTGCGCGGAGATCTGCATACCTCATTGTATTGTATAATGTGTACCTATAAACAACAGAAACCTGCGAGTTTCACACTGTTTACCAACTAACTTCTTTCCACATTTTGAAAATACCTTAATAAAAAGATTTACAAAAAAATATATATAATTACCCACTTTTTTGCCAATAGCTTTGTAACAGGCATCTCGAGAAACCTATTTTATTTTGTCTACCTTGTCCTGGAAATCTCCAATGTTTTTCCCCTCATTCCCTCACCAGATATCTGCTTTTATTCGTAATGCAATCAGAAAAAAATATATAATTACCAATATGGATATCGCACTCTCCTGGATACCAGGGTGCAACCGGGCCTCAGGTTGGCCAATCCTCACAATGTGATTTACAAAAAAGTAATGATTGTCCAGACTCTCAAGTTCAATCCAGTGGGCAGATTTATTGGAGCAAAATAGAAACAAAGTTTCGGCCCACAACAGGACCTTTGTCAAGCTTGACAAAAACCCTGTTGTGGGCCGAAACCTTGTTTCTATTTTGCTCCAATAAATCTGCCCACTGGATTGAACTTGAGTCTGGACCATCATTACTTTTTTGCCAATAGCTTTGTAACAGGCATCTCGAGAAACCTATTTTATTTTGTCTACCTTGTCCTGGAAATCTCCAATGTTTTTCCCCTCATTCCCTCACCAGATATCTGCTTTTATTCGTAATGCAATCAGACCTCATCCCTAAATAATTACTAAGTCATCCACATCCGGATATTTTTGGCCAAAACAGATCAACTCAGGGTTAATTTAGGAACTAATTTGGGTTAATTTGTGGTTTTGTCTACTAAATTTATTTGGTAATATGGCTAGAAGTCATATGTGGAATATGAAATGGGAATAGAAGAAAAACAGATCAAAGTAAGTGGGCATTATTTTTATAATTTAGCAAAAATAACTTTAACTGTATCCCTCTCCAATATCCCTTTAGCTTTACTATAGGCATAAATGCACTCATTGATATCTTTGCTCAACTCAATGCACCTTAAATTCTTTATCTTCCTTTTATTGTGTAGCAAGTCCCAAGTCGTCAGAGGAAGATTTTAGAGGAAGCTCATGAACTGAGTGAAGATCATCAGAAGAAATATTTAGCTAAACTCAGGTCAATTAATCCACCATGTGTGCCTTTCTGTGGTATGTACACATTTATTTTTCACAGGAATAACTTCACCTGAAATGAAAATTGTTTTATACCTGTTGTCTTATACAATAATTAATTTAATGTGTTTTAGAATGTCTGTTTTCTCTTGCTTATAAAATATTGGACTATGTTATAGTTTACTATATGTAGGTTTATAGCATATTCTTCTTTCAAGATACATAATCTGTGTGAAGCAGGTTTAGTTACAGATTTAGTTCTATATTAAATCACTCATAATGTAGCAGTTGTATCCTTCAGTGTTGACTGGTTTAGGAAAACTGTGTAACTGGCTCGTCTTTGCTGTCAAAAATATTTCCTACCATGTAACTCCTCTTAAAATGGATTTTGATTTGCAGAAAAGCATGTACTATGTTGTTACTGGACCTTAACATATATTTGTATTTTTACCGTAGGGATTTATTTAACAAATATTTTGAAGACTGAAGAGGGCAATCCTGATTTTCTTAAAAGACATGGGAAGGAACTGGTCAACTTCAGTAAGAGGAGGAAAGTGGCTGAAATCACTGGCGAGATACAGCAGTATCAGAACCAGCCATATTGTTTACAAGTTGAACCTGATATTAGAGTAAGTCGATCAAACGTGTTTGCATGCCAAGTGTATTTGATTCCTTCACTTCTAATTATTTTTTTTTTTTTATTCTTTATTTTTGCTGTGCATATTGTTACAAATACGCTTGTCATGCCCCACAAGCAGATAACAAGCAAATGGACGTACAAACAGGGCCGGACTGGGAATTAAAAGCAGCCCTGGAAAAAAAATATTTACCAGCCCCATAATGGGTCGCGCCAGCATAGTGTGCAGATACAGAGTTAGAACAGATAACTTAAAATTAAAAAGTACTTCAACGTAAAAAGCGCACTCATAGGCTTCAAAATAAACAAAAGTGCAGATTTATTTTAAGCAGACGTGCCTTTGCATGTAATCAATGTTTCAGTCCAACTACCTTGACATATTAAGGAAAGCTTGTTAATGGGACTGAAATGGTGAATGTATGTAGGGCACAACTGTAAAAAATTTTTATTTTGAAGTCCTGTGGGTGTGCTCTTCACTTTAAATATGTTATTGTGCTGGAGTATGCACCTAGCAACAAGACTGGGCCAATATCTGCTCATTACATATGGTACATATTAATGAAATTTCTCTGTGTATTATGCATTTATAAATGTACATTAATATGTGTAAATATAATAGATATATATATATATATATATATCTAACTAATACACACATATACATGTCATATACTAGTAGCGGATCCAGAGCCTGAGCCTGAGAGGGGCACTTGTAGATTATTTAAAGAAATATTCCATGCACAATAACCACTACTCCTCTGTGTAGTGGTTATGGTGCCAGGAGCGTCGGCACCCTCTCCCAGAGTAAGTCGTCAAACCGTTTAAGAACAGTTTGACAACTTAACTGGAGTCTGCTGGGATATGGGGCTGTAGTAGGGTATAGGAGCAGTGGTGCAATGTGTGTGAAAGGTTCAGTGTGTGGGTGGGCAGTGTGTAAATGTGTATTGTGTGTGAGGGCAGTGTGTGAATGTGTATGGGGCTAGAGTTCACTCCTACTACTGGGACCACCAGGAAGTGGTGAGAGTGAACTCTAGCCCGTAGCTCCAGGGCTAGAGTTCATCCTCGTGAGAGCCGGAGCGTTTCCCCAGGTCCTCTCTTCCTCCCCTGCCAACTGGCTGCACAGTGCCTGTTGAACGGGGAGGGAGATCGGCCGTGCCTTTTTGTCTCCCCCAGTCACTCTGTATGTTTCTTTCTCCCCCTCACTGCTCCTCTGTGTCAATGTCTCCCCTCTCCTTCCCAGTCTCTCTCTCCCCCCTCCCTTGTGTGTCTCTCTCTCATTTCTCCCTCTTTGTCTCTCTCTTCCTCCTCTGCCTCTTTCACCCCCTTTCCCTGTGTCTCTCCCTCCTCCCCATCTCTCTCCCTCCCCCCTTTCCCTGTGTCTCTCCCCTCCTCCCCATCTCTCTCCTCCCTTTCCCTGTGTTTCTCCCCATCTCTCTCTTTCCCTGTGTCTCTCCCCCATCTCTCTCCCCCCTTTCCCTGTGTGTCTCTCCCCATCTCTCCCCTTTCCCTGTGTCTCTCCCCATCTCTCCCCCTCTGTGTGTCTCTCCCTCCCTGTGTCCTCCCTCCTCCCTGTGTTCCTCCCTCTCTCCTCCCCCTTTCCCTGTGTCTCTCCCCATCTCTCTTCCCCCTCCCTCTCCCTGTGTCTCTCCCCTCTCCCTCTATTCCCCTCTCCCCCCCTTTACCTGGAGAAATCAGGGGGCCGGCCGCGTTCCTGGCTGGAGCCGCCGGGCGGCAGCTTCCCCGGTCCGGCGGCACTCCTCTCACTGCTGTGGCTAATGGAGGAGGAGCCTGTCTCTGTACCATCCATGCTCCCTCGCGGTTCCCACAATTCCCGGCACAGGAACCGCGAGGGAGCATGGATGGTACAGAGACAGGCTCCTCCTCCATCAGCCACAGCAGTGAGAGGAGTGCCGCCGGACCGGGGAAGCTGCCGCCCGGCGGCTCCAGCCAGGAACGCGGCTGGCCCCCAGGTGCCGCTGCCCACCGGGAAATTTCCCGGTATCCCGGTGGGCCAGTTCGGCCCAGCGTACAAAGCATATACAAACAAAGAGGACATTTGAAATAACTTGCGCCTTTTTTTTTTTTTTAAAGGGTTAATGATCAGCAGTTTACTGTTAAGCTATTTTAATTTGCTAAGAACTTAGTAGGTTAGACTATGCAATATTGTTTTTTGTTTAAAAAAAAAAAAAGACTGAGTAATGCTGGAAAGTTCTACTTATAGAACATTAGAGATAATAATGATAGATTTGACAGGTTAATTTCCAAAGAAGGCCCCCATAGCAGTAGATTGATAAGGGAAATGAGTGGTGTGAGGAACGCAGGGCACAAGAGCATTATCAGTACATTGCTTAGTATTGGGTAAAATGAAAGGTCTGCTAAATCCCCTAAAGAGCTCTAGGAAAACATGTGCAGGTAGGTAAACCTGATCTGTGGACAATCCATCCTGGTGTTGTGGAGACAGGCTTGAAGACTATGGTGAGGCCTAATAGAAAGCAGTTGTTGTTGGGGGATTCCATCATAAGAGGTGTGGAGATGGACAATGGTGGTCTTGTGAGGTGTCTTCCCGTAGCTACTGCTCACAGAGACAGGAGACGTATCTGTAATATTGTTAAGCGAGCAAAGCAGGAAGGGGAATTGGATGTACTTGTACATCTAGGGACAAATGACTTGGCTTGCAATGAGGTTTCAGAGGTTAAGGAAGTTTTTTGTGTTTTTGCCAATGATATACAGCAGGTTGCTTCCACACTGTCATTCTCTGAAGTTCTGCCTGTGCATAACATTCAGAATGACAGGCGGATGCGTATTAGGGACTTTAACTTGTGGCTTGGTGAATGCTGTCGGGAGCAAGGATTTGGCTTAATTTCTCATGGTAGCTCTGTTTGGAATGGAAATAAACTGTACAAAAAAGATGGTTTGCATCTTTCTCAAAAAGGAACACATGTTCTCAGTGAGCAGTTCAGAGGTTTTGCTAGGATGTATTTAAAATAGGAGAGGGGGGCAAAAGGGTGATAAAACATCAATCCAATTGCCCTCCAAAACAAGGACAGAAGGTGCCTGTAGCAAGTGTGTTAAAAAATTATAAGCTTAGTCATGTCTACAAATGCTCGCAGTTTAGGGATATAAGGATATAAGGATACTGTGCCTCATCAGATTGAACATGACATAGGGCCGAATTGTGATGTGCTCATGTCAGGAATTCAGAAATAGGATCCCAAATGATTAATTGCTAATAGCTTGAATATGGCTTTCAAACTTAACGTTTAACATTTCTTGAATTTCAGAGATTCTTTGAAAATCTGAACCCCATGGGAAATGTTGCAGAAAAAGAATTTGAAGACTATTTGTTTAAGAAGTCCTTGGAAATCGAACCACGAAATGCAAAGACTCTGCCAAGATTTGTAAGTAGTTGTGGGTGTTGCGGCTGAGCTCAGAAGAGATTTAGATCTGATTACAGGGGTTTGCAGAACTAAATTCAAATAAAAGAACATTCCAGATGTAAAAAATGTCTCCAGCTTTTGCTCCGTCTGCAGGGAGGCTACAACTTGCTGCTCTAATGCACATGTGGACTTCTACCATATAGTCCTATGTAGAAAGCATTTCATATGAACATGGTGTCTATAATATTGTGCACAATCAGTGCATCTCAGTTGGTCCCAGTAGTTAATCCGGAATTAGCAGCTATATCTCCTTCAAAATACACAGGTTATGTGTGTGTTTTACATGTAGATACATTAATATGTAACTAGAGAGAGCGCAGTAAACCGAAAAATTGTATTATGAAAATAGTCAAATTGCCCCTAGAATGTTCTATGCTCCAGCCCACCTCCGAAAATATATGGAGAACTGCTAAGATCAAGGCAAATACAATGAAATCTAGATGAAGGCTGTACAGAAACCCTTGACCCCATTTCCAATGTGTGAGCACTACTTTTTGATGATGCAGCTAATCTTCAAACCACTGCCTTAGTCTATGTAATAACTATTTTGAAAAGGCTTAACTATATAAAACCAATTCTATCACCAATGCACCAGTGGAAAGAGGTACAAAGGGAAAAACTTATAATTACCCTTTAAACACTATCTCTGTAGTGAAGAGACTCCTCACATATTCATCAATACATAAACAAACACAATATTTACAGAGAAAATGTAAAACATACATAGAGAAGTATTGTCCGTGCACCACAATAAACTTGAATATATTGCACTCACAAAGTAGATAGTGTGTCACCCAATAACTGTATCCAATCTTCATTTTCAAATTTATTTATGATTTGATATATTATTTTAACACATAATACAATACAATACAAAGCATATCATACAAAGTGGCATTATGATAATCAATGTATGCATAAATCCCATACAGTAGTGAGCATAGTTCTCATACATATTAAATAACTGTAGTGCCATGTCACTTAAACACACAATCACGAAGATGAACACTGCGACTGCGAGACCGATTACTACTTTAACTTGTATTATTCCCAATGTATTAGATAAAAACACCCTCTTTTTAGGGCTCAATATAAATGGCAGTAACCTTCTCTATTGGTTCTCTATAAATAGATAAAAATCTATATCCCGAGTGATAAATGTAAAGTAGCATATTTTTTTCCATCTCCAATTGATAAAACAATTGTTTTATGAATAATGCTTTTGTTGGAATAATTACTTGCTTCCAATGTCGAGCAATGAATATTTTTGCTGCCATTAAGCAATGGGTAATCAAAAAATCATGTTTTTGAACACCTACCGTACTATTTATATTCAACAGAGCAGTTTCTGTTTTTTTAATCAACGGTCTTCCAATAATATCCTTTACGGTTTTAAATACTAAGTCCCAAGATTGAACTATTCGAGGGCAATTCCACCATATATGATACATGGTTCCCTCCTGATGTAAACAAGGGGAGATCCTAGAAAGTCTTACTGGCACCATGTACCACCTGTACATGACTTTTACTTGTGTCTCTAAGATGTTAAGACAATGTATATGTTTTTTGATTTTTCAAAGTATAGAATCCCAAACCCTATAATTTATAGAGATCGCTAAATCTTTTTCCCATTGTTTCATAGGAGACTATTTCAATATCAAAGTTTTCATGTTTAATAATTCCCTTGCATTAGAAATAAATAATTCTTGACTTGTACCATAGAATGTTTTCTTAAAGGGACACTATAGTCACCAGAACAACTACAGCTTATTGAATTTGTTCTGGTGTGTAGAATCATTATCTTCAGGCGTTTTGCTGTAAACACTGTCTTTTCAGAGAAAATGCAGTGTTTACATTACAGCCTAGTGATAACTTCACTGGCCACTCATCAGATAGCTGTTAGAGATCCTTCCTGGGTCATGACTACCTTAAATGCATCCAAACATTCAGTGTCTCCTCCCTCTGCATGCAGACACTGAACTTTCCTCATAGAGATCCATTGATTCAATTCATCTCTATGAGGAGATGCTGATTGGCCAGGGCTGTGTTTGAATCATGCTGACTCTGCCCCTGATCTGCCTCCTTGTCAGTCTCAACCAATCCTATAGGGAAGCACTGTGATTGGATCAGGCCACCACATGTCAGCAGACTGCTTGTTTTTCGGAGTCTAACAGCATGCAGAGTTACAGCTTCAGGTTTGAATACAGTAAGATTTTTACTAGATTTATGGAGGCATGAGGGGCCCAGGGGGGCTAGATGGTGGTGTTAACACTATAGGGTCAGGAATACATGTTTGTGTTCCTGACCCTATAGTGATTCTTTAAGTAGGTTGATTATATCATTATTAGACTTTAATAGATGTTCCTTAAGAAACTCTTGAACGCGAAGGTATTTAAATATATCTTGTTGAGAGAGGTTCAATTTCTGCTTCAATTTATCAAAAGATAATATTTGATTCTCACATATTTCCCCTATTGTACATTCCCATTGTTTAGTCCAACTTCTAAAATCAATGTCAGGCATTACGGTCTCCAATATTCTAATATTAGAACCTTCATAAATTTTATTAATGTTTAGATCTTTCTTTATACCTTGCCGTTCTTTCAATATTTCTGATATTAATGAAATCTTTATATCATTAATACTTGTCTGCATTCCTATATCATTCCACAATAGAAAATCCAGGTTATCAATGCCTACTCTTCTTGCTTCCAACTTATACCACGCCCTTCAAATCGCCAACTTGAAATTTATGGGCATGGTTAATCAAATTCGCCTGATAGGTGTTTCTGATTATCAGATATCCTATACCCCCCACTGATGGGGTTTTTTTTTTTTTTTGGACAAAATCCTAGTATTTATTCGAGGTCTTTTACCTCTTCAGATATAATTAGTAAATCTGGATTGTATGATATCTAACCATTGATTTGGGATTGTCAGTGGGATCATTCAAAATAAGTATGCCCACTTAGGGGGAGGATATATGATTTGATAGTATTAATTTCCCCCCACCAAGAGATTTCATAATCTCTCCATTCCCTTAATAGCATGTTTGTATGTTTAATGAGTCTTAAAATATTTACTTCCATTATCACTTTTGGATTTGCGATAATATCTATACCCAAATATCGTATGGCCTTCCAAGTAAAATCAAAATCCTTTTTTAAGTCTTTTAAGGTTATCAGCTTCAATATTTTTTATTAGAACCGATGTTTTATTCATATTTAATTTATAATTCGATACAATATATCGTTTAAATTCCTGCATTAAATGTGGTAGAGAGAGATGTGGATCTGTTACTGAAATAAGAATGTCATCGCTATATAGACATATCTTTAATTCCCTGTCTTTTTTAATATCACCCCTTTGATATGAGGGTTGCTTCTTATATTGATAGTGTATATATAATAAAGTGAATAAAGGGCACACCTGCCTCCTTCCATTTGATACATTGAACCAATCCGTACAAAAATCCTGTCTCACCAATATAGCTGAAGGGGATGAATATAACGTACCAATCGCATTAGCTATCCAATCTTCTTATTCTTCTCAATTGATTAATGTGAATAAATGCAAGCACAAACCACATTGTGCAGATCTTAAAATCCAAATTATTAAATAAAGAATTGCTCTTACAGAGTGTAAATTAAAAACAAACTACTATGTAGGTGGACGTCAGAATCTTAGCTCCTACAATCTTCAAGCAATCAATGAATGGGATAGACAGCCATCAAAATCCCCTACAAGTGGGCTATGTTTACAAAATACTATTTAATAAATGAATATAAAAAGTACATAAAAACCCTACGCGTTTTGTCTTGTGCATCCAGACTTTCTCGGTGGTTAAACGCAATCAATGATCCTATTAGCTGATCCACCAATTCGGCCTCCACGTGTATTCATCACATTCCTATTGCGTTCCACGCCTTTCTTTCAGTTGCATTCCACGCCTCTGAAGTTCTGCTTACAAAACACATTTAATTTATGAATTGTACTGAATAATTAATTGCTTTGAACGGCTTTGAATCTGGGTGCAACAGACAAAACGCGTAGGAATTTCATGTACTATTTAAGTGTTTTTGTGAACATATCCCACTTGTATGCAATTTTGATGGCTGGATATCATTTTCATTGCCTGAAGATTGCAGGAGCATGGTTTATGATGTCCAACTTACATAGTGGTGATAGCATGTTTTTAATTTACTCTCTGTAAGGGCAATTCTTTAATAAATGTTTGAATTGAACAACAATGTCGTTTTGGCTTGCTCTTATTTTTACAGGATTTAATTGGAAAGAATAAGAAGATTGGATATACTTATTGAGTCATACACATTCTATCAATTAATACTTTGTGAGTGCTACATATACATAATTATTGTGGTGCACACACAATACTGTTCTATGTATATTTTACATTTTATCTGTAAATAGTGTGTATGTGTATTTTGAAACGCTGAATGTCTTGGGTATAAAACCCATGCTCACGATGTACAGTTCTATTGGTGTGTAATATTGTAAAACTAATCAATTCTATATCTTGCTATTTATGGTCACTTTGTGTTATATCTAACAACAAGACTTTATTTGGCAGCCAAAAAAGTATAATTATCCCCTCAAGTCTCCTGGGGTACGTCCATCAAACCCACGACCAGGTACAATGCGACACCCAACTCCCTTGCAACAAGAGCCAAGAAAAATCAGCTACAGCCGCATACCTGAGAGTGAAATTGAATGTGCAGCATCTGCACCTAACTCTCCTCGGACACCTTTAACACCACCCCCTCCATCTGCAGCATCCAGCACCACTGACGTGTGTAGTGTCTTCGATTCAGATATCTCCAGTCCCTTTCATTCACGTACGTATACATTGTAGCTAAGGTACCATCATTATGTTGATGTTGATTATTTCCAGCCATACGGTAACAGTAAACTGTATTATGGTTTCATACTTTATATAAAAACAAGTCCAAAGATGATCCATGTTTAATTGAATACCTAGAAATGTTTATGCTGTGTTCTTGCCTCTGTTTTCTGCCACTTGACATGCTTACATGCCTTTTTTAAATTACTTTGTAACATTGTGCACCCTGCTTTTAGCAATCCACAAAGCACTGAATTGGCAGGCAATCCTTTCCCTACCTCCACGGTTTCTTTTTGCTCTCCTGTCTTTAGCAGCTCTCTAGCCTGTTCAACCACTGATCTTAACTATTACTCGCCTTGTACCCATTGTCATATCACTTGCATCACCAGGAAACTTTATTTCCTATTTTCTTTAATCCACAAATAACACTGGACAAAATAATGGTGTGTGTGCCTATTGAGGAGTTTTTATCAAAGTTTGGACTGGTAGTGTGAAATATTATAGATTTCCAAAGTGCCCAAATGCTATAATTGCTACCTTATGGTAGCACTGATCCTAAGCTTACAATACCATTGAATGTTTTGACAAAACATAAAATAACTGTACAAATATACCAAGTTGAGGCGTACACCTGGTGACCTGTCATTCACACTGACATGTTGCTTGTAAAAGCATGTACATGTAAAATGTAGAATTTAATTAACTGTTCTGGTTTGGGTAGTATGTAGGAACCAAAATAGTTCTTCAGGTGTCTGTAGATTTGCTCATTTGTTATGGTTTTAAAATCTGTAGCTGGTTGCCTTATATTATATGGTTTCTAAATGGTACATCAACATTGTAGAATCTTACAGAGCGTCCTGGCATAAAGTTCATAAGCTGTAAACGAAAAGCATCTTTGCAAAGTGAAATACATTGCAACCTGGAGGTGGAGTTTGATATAGGATAATGCAACATCCTTTTGCTCGATAGTATAAACCAGGGGTAGTCAACCTGGTCCCTACCGTCCACAAGTGTACGCTGGTGGGTTCTGCATAAAACTACCAGTGGGCCTCGATGGCCATGGACCAAGGCCGGCAGGGGAGATCCTTTCTCCTCCCCTGCCGGCCCATGCAGAGCCAGCCGTGCTGTAGGCCCTCTCAGACTGGTGAGGAGATCATAGAGGGAGGGAAGGGCCTGGCAGGCTCTGTGTTCCTCCCGTGACCAGGCTGGATGGATCTTTGCCGCACACTACCATGGCAATGCTCCAATACACACACCACCTCAGGCACATTTAGAAACATTATTTATTTATTTATTTATTTTCACTTTTTTTTTATTTTTTTTATTCCGGTCTCCCTCCCTCCATCCCCCCCAAAAAAAGAAATCGCACTTGCACTAAAAAATTAGTTACTGCGGCACCGGTGGGCAGTAAGGAAATTTTACCATCAACAAAGATACAAAAGTGGGCGGTAGATATTAAAAGATTGACTTCCCCTGGTATAAACAAATGTACCTACATTTGACACTGATTGCATTTACATAAACTATATAGCTTTATTTGAAAAAGTGATCCATCTCTTTAGAATGTAAGGTTGTTTGAGTAACTTTTATTCATGTGTATCCAACTACTTGTTCTACCTATTATACAGCAGTACAGAATGTGTTGCCACTTTATAAGTAATAAAAATGACATGGCACTGTTTTGGGATTTTTCCCTTAGGCTCTGCTTCAATATCGTCAATAAGTTTTAGTAAAAACTCAGAAGAAATACAAGTTCCACCACCTATTCCTCCTCGAAGGCGACCAGAGTCTGCTCCTACAGAGTCATCCCCATCGAAGGTAACCCGGTGGCTTGATTTCCTTTAATTTTGTTGTTTTCCACTTTGTCATAACATTCTCATAACATATCCTTGGCACCCCAGATGCTTATGAATAATTTTTCCATAAAAACTGGACAAATTATATGGGGAATCCATTTTGCAAATATCTGCGAGATCCAGGTTAACCACTATTTTAATCATTTATAATGTTTGGCACCTTTTTAGAAAAAAACATCTTGCTAAACTACACAAATCTAAATCCTCAACAACAATATTTATTAAAACAAATGTATGCAGAAAAGAATAAGAAAAAACAAATAGCATTTCAGTTCATTTTATTCACCACTGATTGCCGGTTTCCACTGTCATCATTTGCTTTGTGTTTTTGTTTTATTTATTTTTATATATAGTCCTCTACTGTTGTTTTTTAATTTTATAAACAAAGAATGTTACAACAAGAGTATATTTCGATCCATAATCACACAAAGGAATTCAAAATTGAAACAAATTTGTTTGCAAAAAAAAGCTCCTATTTCAGGTTGAGTGCCTTTCATTGACCATAAGAAGCAAATTATTACCAAAACTGCCACCAACTAGAATTAAGGGAGTTGGGGTCTATCTGCCCACATATAAACTGTTTAAAGGACCACTATAGTGCCAGGAAAACATACTCGTTTTCCTGGCACTATAGTGCCCTGAGGGTGCCCCCACCCTCAGGGACCCCCTCCCGCCCGGCTCTGGAAAGGGGAAAGGGGTTAAAACTTACCCTTTTCCAGCGCTGGGCGGAGAGCTCTCTGCCTCCTCTCCTCCTCCGTTACGCCCCGCCGGCTGAATGCGCACGCGCGGCAAGAGCTGCGCGCGCATTCAGCCGGTCTCATAGGAAAGCATTTACAATGCTTTCCTATGGACGCTTGCGTGCTCTCACTGTGAAAATCACAGTGAGAAGCACGCAAGCGCCTCTAGTGGCTGTCAATGAGACAGCCACTAGAGGAATAGGGGAAGGCTTAACCCATTCATAAACATAGCAGTTTCTCTGAAACTGCTATGTTTATGAAAAAATGGGTTAACCCTAGCTGGACCTGGCACCCAGACCACTTCATTAAGCTGAAGTGGTCTGGGTGCCTAGAGTGGTCCTTTAAATTTATTTCAAAGAGTGAAATGGCAGTTGTCTGTTGATAATAAATGTTTATAGTTCATATGGCAGTATTGTGCTTTTATGGTAGTCATTTTGTTATGTTGCAATGGGAATATTTTGACACTCACAAAAGGAGAACATCAGTCTATTTTTTTTTATTTTATTTTTTTTTAGCAGTTGAAACCTTACTGTGTTTGAATAGAATGAATAATGCTTTTTCCTTGTCATATAGGCCATTAAGAGAACACCATGGATATGTTAAAGTGGTAATAAAATTAAGTTTGTGTGAAAATCTTTGAAAGTGAGATACTGTGGAACAAGGGTCTGGGTGTTGGTGTTGCAATTTAGAAAATGCAGTACTTCCACTAATTACTAGTTTGTCTTTCAGATTGTGTCTAAACATTTGGAGAGCCCCCCTGCAATCCCACCACGTCAACCAACATCTAAAGTATACTCTCCACGGTACCAGATGTCAGACCGCGTATCAGTCTCTGATCCACCAGACAGCCCTCCACTTTTACCACCACGGGAACCAGTGCGTACACCAGATGTCTTTTCCAGTTCTCCTCTACACCTTCAACCACCTCCTCCTGGACGAAAAAGTGAACACCCGAATACATTTTTCCCATATAGCCCCTCACCATTTACCCCACCTCCTCCACAGACTCCATCCCCTCATGGGACAAGAAGGCACCTGCCATCTCCACCTTTATTAGTGCAAGATCTCGAACTCTCTTCCACCACTGGGCCACCTGTCCCACCAAGACAAAGCACTTCTCAGCCTATCCCAAAGCTGCCACCAAAAACTTATAAGAGGGAGCCTCCACACCCATCAATTCACAGAGATGGCCCTCCACTGTTGGAAAACACAAACTCTTTGTAATACAAATAGTGTATTGTAAACACTAAATGGAAAAAGAAAAAACTTTTCTTTGGAAACAAAACATTCACAGAAGGAATAAACTGTATACTGAAAATGATTCAATGAACTTATGCTGAACATAACAAAGGGGGACAGCCCATCTTATTCAAATTCCTTTTGGATCCATATTGCACCACAAAGAAATCAATAAATAAAAAAATAGACTTGATCAGCAAGGAGCAAGTCATTTGCTAATAGGTGTTACCTTCAAGAGGCCCTGCCATGCATAACATGACAGTGCTGGATTATTCCACAAATAAAATACAAGACTCTGCCATGCTATGCATGACAGACCCTTTGGCAAAGAGTAAGGAAAGATTGCGTTCATTGTTGAAGGGAAAACGAAAAATAGAATGTTATGCACTTTTGTATATATATGTGTGTATGTGTGTGTAAAAATGGTGAAAAGGTTCGAGCATTCACAGGCCAAAAGTTATCCGTGAAAAAAATGAAACTTTAATTTAAACATCAGCGTCAATGATTCAGTCCTTACATTCTTAAGACCACGTGTGTGTATATATAAATTTATACATACACGTACCTTTTGAAAAAAGGATGGTTATACTCTTAATTTCCTTTGCTTCATGTCTCTGCTTCGGCTCTTTAAATTTCAGAGGGAAGTGATTCCTTTTGACCATCCAAAGGTAATTTTGTCAAAACGTGTGGCGGACTGTAATGAAGATCTGTGGTACATAACTTTATAAAAGTAAAGTACAGCACTGTATTGCAGTACAGTTTACATTTGTTCCATGAAATTTTGTTGGTACCTGCTTCACCAAGATGTACTTTTTATTTTATTTTTAATTTTTTTTTTTCTTTTGAATAAAAAAAACAAATAATCATGGTGCCATTTAACAAAAAGAAAAACCAAAAAAAGACATATTTTTTCTTGGAAATAATGACTTTATTTGGCTCCAGACAGGTGATAAGTCTGAACATTCATGCAGTAGCAAAGCTATGTGTGAAGTGTTAGGAGTAGTGATGTCCCGAACTGTTCGCCGTAAACTTTGACCCTGTACCTCACAGTCAGCAGACATATTCCAGCCAATCAGCAGCAGACCCTCCTCCCTCCTGGACAGCTCACTAAGAATGCAGCTTCACAATGGATGCTGTCCAGTAGTTGGGAGGGTCTGGGAGGGAGGGTCTGCTGCTGATTGGCTGGAATATGTCTGCTGACTGTGAGGTACAGGGTCAAAGTTTACTCAATGATGAGTCCACGGCGAACAGTTCGGGACATCACTAGTTATGAGTTCTACGTTACCAGTGTTCTGTTTTGAATTTTGTTTCAGAAAGTCCAGTGATATTGCAGCCTATACATTTTGGTTTTAATCATTCTAGATCAAAACCGTTTCCATTCCAATATTTAATCAATTTGGGGGGAAATTTAGGACAAATAAAAAAAAAAAAAATCTTGATGGCAGCTACACATAGTTATAAGACATGACATTGTTTGACCCACTGATATCGATATTCACTTAAGTATCAGCCATGATTTAAAGATATACTTTAAAGGGTCACTCTACACCAAAAACAATGGAATAAAACTCTGGTGGTTCTGGTGCTTAAAGTCCCCGTGCGTGCATCATGACAAAAGGTAAACATTGCATTTTCTGTAAAAAAAATAGTGTTTACATTTGTCTACAAGAACAAATCAATTGGTTTTCACTCATATGATCTAAGCAGCAAGTCAAATAATTAAATGTGAGTATTTTATTATTATGCATATGAAGGGACCCTAAATCTAAATGGTTAAGCAGTAACTCAAACATTAAAAATGTTGTTTTTCTAATGTTATTTTCCCTTTTAAATGGTTAATCCAAGCACCATGACCACTTCAGTGATTTGAAGGGGTCATGGTGCCTGCAGTATGCATGTATGTATGCAGTGCTTTCCTTTGGAATGCTGTGCATACAGAGATTAGCTGCCTGGCTCCCGAAGGTGTGACTCCACCTCTGATAGCATCAAAAGGATGTCATCAGTCAGCCTGAAACGTTCTTGGCTGGCTAATATCCAGTCTGTGTTACTTTTGTGGTACAGAATTGTATCAATTGGCTGAGGTCAGTCAGCTGATGCTCTCAGCCAACAAATGTTGACCGTCCTGTGCAGATAGCTATAGGCTTGTCACTAGACCACCAGGGTCATTGGAGCCTGACAGGGACCCAGAAAGGGGGGAAACCAGGCCAGGGTACTCCCTGCATCATAACCACTACAGTGGGCTGTAGCAGTTATGATGCCTGGAGTCCGTACTGTATCTTTAACAAGGCAGTTTCAGGGGGGCAGCATTATTTTGCCCCCAAGCGCCCTGGCAAATGCTCTGTTAGCCTCTTAGATGGGGAACCCCGAGGCAGGCAGCAGCTAGTACTGCGGGAGGGCAGTGAGGGAATGCTGAACTCTGAGCTCTTTCTGCTCTGCACCCACGCACAGTGATGCCGGAATATAATGTCACTCCAACTCCTGGCAAAACAAAGATGCGCACAAGGGAGCATTCTATGTTTCTGTCTGAGAGTGTGTCTGTCAGTAAATGAGTGTGTCAGTGGGTGTCTGTCAGTCAAAATTGTGTGTTGGTCTGAAACCGGAAGAGGTTCAGCCTTGACAGAAAGGGGCGGATCAAATTGAGGGTTGCCAGAGTTTCTTCATGCCTAGAGTAGCACAAATCCAGTATACACACTGCTTGGAGTAACCCTATAAGTACCATAACAATCACCACCTCCAGTGGCCACTCCTCAGATGGCTACTAGAGGTGCTTTCTGGGGGCAGTGCTTCTGCATAGAGACACCAAACTTTCCCCATAGAGATTCATTAATTCAATGCATCTATATGAGGAAATATTGATTGGCCTGGGCTGTGTGTGTACTGGCTTTGCCCCTGATCTGCCCCCTTGATACTCTGAGCCAACCCAATGCTTTCCTATGATGTCAGCCAAGGAGGCAGATCAGGGGCAGAACCAGTAGCAGCAGACTGAAGTAAGGGAAGATTTTGCTATATTTAGAGAGGACATTGGGACTAGATTGTGTCAGGAATACATGTTTGTGATCCTGACTCTATAGTGTTCCTTTAAGACAGGGGTTCCCAATCCAGTCCTCAAGTACCCCCTACCAGTCCAGGATTTAGGGATTACCCTGTTGTGTCTAAAGTTTTTATTTTCTTAAACCACAACTGGGTAATCCCTAAATCCTGGACTGTTAGGGTGTACGTGAGGACTGAGTTGGGAAACCACTGCTTTAAAGGGATACTCCAGGCACCCAGACCACTTCTGCCCATTTGAGTTGTCTGGGTGCCAACTCCCACTACCCTTAACCCTGCAACTGTAATTATTGCAGTTTTCATAAACTGCAATAATTACCTTGCAGGATTAACTCCTCCTCTAGTGGCTGTCTACTAGTCTTCTAGTGGCAGCCACTAGTGGGCACTTTCTGCTTCATAGCACAGGTTTTCTGTGCTAGAGCGTCGCTGGACGTCCTCATGCTGTGTGAGTACCTCCACCGTAGCTCAATTCCCCAGGAGAGCTCTAATGCGCATACGCGGCAATGCATTAGGTCTCCTCGGCGGGCGGGATCAGTCTCCCCCGCCGGCTGACGTGATGAAGGGGAGGAGCGATGGTGACCCGAAACAACTTCCGAGGGAAATCGGCGGTGGTCTCAGGTAAGTCACCCCTTCAGCAACCGTGGATGGGTGGTGGGAGGGAGGGGGACCTGCAGTGCCAGGAAAACGGATTGTTTTTGTGGCACTGGAGAGTCCCTTTAAGGCATGTATTTTATTTGGTTTGGTTCAATCCTTTTAAAATATGCAGATTTAAAGTAGGAAATCTAAAATTAGAGCAGTGGGCTTTGCTATTGACTCAGTCCTAATAATTCATCAATGTAGCAATGCCCTTTAACCCCTTCCCTACCGTGGACGTATCAGGTACGTCCGACAAAAAACGGTCCTTAAGGACCACGGACGCACATGATACGTCTGCTGCGAATTAGAGCTCTGGAAGCTATCATGATCACTTTCAGATGCTCTGGTATTGCAGCGATGCCTCGATATCGAGGCATTCTTCAATAACCCCCCTCACTGCCGGGCTTCCAGGTGATCGCTCCCCTGGAGCGATCCCATCTGGGTTGCCCCACATGGCACCCGGCAGTGAAGCAGAGCCTCAGAAGCCATTAGGCAGGCTTCCGAGGCTCTGCCTGTGCTGAGTGCCTTGAGGGGTCGTGACACTCAGTGAAGATAAAAATAAATAAATAACTTTTACAAAATTAACCCCTCCCTCCATTCCCATGTACTTACCCGATCGCCACTGTTCCCCCACCGGCGATCGGTGTTCTGCTCCACTGGGGGGAGACTGTCTGACAGCCCAGATAGTCCCCCCTCTGCAAATTAGGACCCCATGGGCCATGTGATCGCTCTTTCAGGCATTTATAGTGCTGCCAGCAGGGGGACTGCCTGAACTGACAGGCAGTCCCCCGGCTGGTGAAAAAAGTTGTAAAATAAATAAATTTCATATATATAATATATATTATACACCGTCATGCTAAGTGTATTTTTTTATTAATATATATATATATATATATATTAATATAACAATAAACTTAGAGTGAAATAACTACAGATTGTGTATATAAATATATATATATATATATATATATATATAACAAATGTTAATTCAAAATAAATGAAATGTAAAATAATAAAAAATATGTAATTTTATTCTAACTGTATTTTGATATTAATATATGTATATCAAAATACACTTAAAATAAAATTATATATATTTATGTCTATGTATATATAAATAAAAAATACGTCCATATACATAATTACATAAAAAAATTCAGAAATATACACTATATATATTTAAATTCTACATGCATATTTTTGTAATATTTTTACATAATTAAGTAATTTTATTGATTGCAATTTGGTGGACCTGTCTGACAACCCAGGCCAAAAGTCCAGAGAATCTAATTTGCTAGCACTATATTTAACCCTGTAATTTTCCAAGACACCATAAAACCTGACATACCCCATTTGCAATACCTTGGTTTGTCTACTATTGCAAATGGTATGCCATCATGGGGTAATTTTCATTCTTGGGCTACCACAGTGTCTCAAAGGCAACGTAACCAATCTGGCGAATTTTAATGTGAAAAAAAATGAAACACAAGCCTTAAATTTGACACTGTAACTTTTGAAAACACCATCAAACCTGTACATGAGGGGTACTGTTGTACTCGTGAGACTTCGCTGAACACAAATATTAGTGTTTCAAAACCGTAAAACGTATCACAGCAATTATATTGTCCGTGTAAGTGCTGTTTGTGTGTGAAAAATGCAAAAAAAGTCACTTTTACTGGTCGATATCATCATTGTAATACATTTTACTGTTTTTGAAACACTAATATTTGTGTTCCGCAAAGTCTCCCAAATATAACAGTACCCCCTGTGTACAGGTTTTATGGTGTTTTTGAAAGTTACAGAGTCAAATATAAGGCTGGTTTTGTACATTGAAATTTTCCAGGTTGGTTATGTTGCCTTTGAGAGCATATGGTAGCCCAGGAATGTGAATAACCGTAATGATGGCATACCATTTGCAATAGAAGACAACCTAAGGTATTGCAAATGGGGCATGTTCAGTCTTTTTTTTATTTTATTTTTTTATTTTAGTAGCCACGTAGTAACAAACACTGGCCAAAGTTGTCATTCATAATTGTTTTTTGCATTTTTAACACAAATATACATGCTAACTCTGGCCAGTGTTTGTGACTAAGTGGCTACTAAAAAAGACTGGACATACACCATATTAAATACGCTGGGTTGTCTACTTTTCAAAAATATATGGTTTGATTGGGTAAATTACCGGCTTCAAAAATGTCCAAAATAGGACATGGGTGCATGATGACCAGCTGTGAAAATTCCAAGTTGAAAAACTGGAATGCGCACCCTCCAAATAAGGTCTTTTAGCCCCCAGAGAACCCAACATACCTACACATGGGTCGTATCACTGTACTCAGGAGACATTGCTGGACACATATTTGGGTGTTCTTTGGCAGTAACCCTTAAAGTTCTCAGTACATGTATTCTTAAATTGCCATGTGTCCCAAAAAAAATCACCATTTAAAAAAAAAAAAAAAAAAAATTATTTAAATTTGGCATAGATTGGTGGTAAAATGTTTGCAAAACACCCCACATTTAATACATTAGGTTGTCTTCTTTTAAATATTACATACGTGTGAAGGGTTATTCATGGATTCCTGACAGACGACAGTATTACAATGTAACTTTTGAAAACAAATGGTTTGGAAATAGCAAAGTGCTACTTGTACTTATAGCCCTATAACTTAACCAAAAAAAGCCAAGAACATGTTAAGATTGGGTATTTCTAAACTCAAGCCAAAGAAAACCTATTTAGCACGGGTGTTTTTTGGCAGTTGTAGATGTGTGATAGATTTTGCGGGTCAAAGTTAGAAAAAGTGTGGTTTGTTTTGTTTTAAAAAAAAAAAAAAAATTTCCATCACATTTTATAATTTCTTTTATAGTAAATTATGATATGATGAAAATAATAGTATCTTTAGAGAGACCTTTTAATGGTGAGAAAAACAGTATATGTGTGGGTACAGTAAATGAGTAAGAGGAAAATTACAGCTAAACACAAACACCGCAGAACTGTAAAAACAGCACTGGTCCTTAATGGTAAAAAAATTGAAAAGCAGTCTGGTCACTAAGGGGTTAAACTAACAGTGCTCTAGGGGTTAACAAGAGGTCCACTTTGTCCAAATTCATAAAAGTGCCTGTTTCAAGGGAAATCAGCACTTTTCTGAATTAAGGAATGCACTCCTTTCCTCTCAAGCTGACACCCAGAAGGATTTCTTATTAACTCAGTTTGAATGAACGTGAACACTTCAATTAATCTAATGCAGACATTTCGAACTCCAGTCTTTACATGCCGCTGACCTACAACTCCCATTCTTCTCTGGCCTTCTGTTACATTCAAAGAATTCTGGGAGTTGTGGGCCAGAGCTTTAGATCCTTAGTCTAATGTATCTCTATGAGAAACGTATTGGGTGATCGCCGCATCTGATGCGTACAATTTATCCAGAGAGGAATGGTGACTGTTTTCACTGACAGTATCCAAGGAGCAGGGCAGCGACAAGAGGACTCCCTGCAAGATTTAAAAAAAAAAAAAAAAAGTTACTTATTTCTTTGTGGGGCCCTCAACTAATAATTTTTGGAGGGTTTCTAATTTAATGAGCCTGACTTGATTTAAGCTTTCCTATTACGGATTATGGTCTGCACGTTCAGTGACCTAACTGCAAATGGTTTCTACTTTTATTAGCTTTCACCTTTTATCCAAACGGATTAAGTAATTTGACTGAAATCAAAGCAAGCTTGGTAATGTTTTTTATTTTTATTTATTGGTTAGCAAAGATCAATTCCACAAAGATGAACTCCAATGATTTATTGGATACTGCTTCTCCATGCAATATTTCCCAATGAAGTTGGGGTTGAATGCTGTTTCACCAATATCCCTTTTGTTACTAATAGGCTGATTATTCACACATCCCTCATTACTTATAACAAACCCTTTATTCTGTTGATTGATTGTTAGCCACTAGTTCTGTATCTGCTAATTCCAGCAATACCCAGTCAGCAATCTTGTTTGTGCATTCGGGAGAAACACAGGTAAAATGGCATATGAAGAAAGCAAGATGAATGATTCAAATGATTAAGAGAAAAAACAAAACACAACCAGAATAAGAAGTAAAAAGAACAAATTTAAAAAAAACACAAAAACAATAGAAAGATGCTGTCCTTAAATACATTTTTTTCAAATTATATTTATTTTTATAAATTATATTAATTGCTAAGAGATACTGTAGAAAACTAAAGGGCAAGATGACATTAATGCAGTTTGGAAACAAGTCTCAAAGTGACAAAACTGAAATCAAACGGGAGTCAGTGGTGGCTGCCTTCTTTGGAGCCAGACCTTGTGAAGAACTATCATGACCTAGAGGAGAAAGAGGTAAAATAAAACCGATTCTTGGACAAAGCAATGTAGCTAATCACTGTTTGAAAAATTACTTGGAAACTCTTAGGTCCAAGTGGAAGAGAGATATATTTCTATATTTGTGAGTTCATATAATCTTTATGACTCATTAGTAGGAAGACCTTTCAAGCTACTTTCTTCAAAAATGTTGTATCTTTACAGTAGAATAGTAAAGGAGATTAGTGCTGCACCCATTGAATAATAGATGGGAAAAGATGCACAAAATATTTCCTCCCCATACTGTCACTCATTGTAAAGTAGCATGCTTCTCTGTCCTGATTGGACAGTTTTGAGTGGTACTACTGTGAATGGAGGAGGCGGGGATATGACACAACTGAAGATCCTCTACACTACTGCAATCCTGTGTGCCCAATCTTGATAGGTGGAGGGAGGCGTTAAAGAGACACTGTAGGCACCCAGGCCACTTTAGCTCATTGAAGTGGTCTGAGTGCAGTGTCCGTCACCCCTTAGCCCTGAACATGTAATTATTGCAGTTTTTATAAACTGCAATAATTACCTGCTAGGGTTAACTCCTCTAGTGGCTATCTACCAGACAGCCACTAGACTAGAGGGACTTCCGGGCTCAAATGCAACTTTTGGTCGCCTAAATGACGCTGGACATCCTCACGCTATGCATGAGGACTTCGAGCGTCACCGGAATCCCCATAGGAAAGCGTTATCCATTATTAGGTCTCCTGACGTCAGCCGGCAGGGAATGAGCGGGGCCAAACCAGCGCCGAAGGACCTCAGCACTGGACCCAGGTAAATGCAGGAAGGGGTTGAGAGGGCTTGACAAAAGGGGAAGCTATAGTGGTAGGAAGACACGTTTGTTTTCCTGGCACTATAATTTCTCTTTAAGAGGCACACACACAAAGGGGTAAGATGTTCGAAACTGCAAATATTTTACAATTCCAAAGGGAGGGGAGTTTGCCTACACACCCCAAGCACCAAATAACCTAGGTATTCCTGTGTCCAAAGGCTTTCTTAAAATTGTCTATATGTATGTTAATACAATATTAAAGGAACACTAGAACGTCAGCAATACTGTATTTATAATGCTGTTATAGTGTCCCGGCTGCAAACTTTTTATAGGTATCCCTTACCCTGTGTTGGTGATAAAAATGAAAGGACCTTTCATTTTTCCAGCTTAACTCTTCACTTCCTGCTATTTTATGGAACAGTCATGGCCTACTCCATGATAGTACAATCCAATTCTCCTTTTAAGGAACTGATACGCAGCTAGCGCTGTGCACTAATCCAAGTTTACACATAGGAGAATACTGGATTGATGCTTTCCTGGCAAGGTGCCGTCATGCAGTGCTGTAATGCGCAGTGATGGCATAGACAGTCTAGCAGTAAAGGTACAAGCAGGGGTTAATGGCCCCAGACTGAAAGATGAGTCTAAAGTGTTGGGTATATTGAAGAGGGGAGGGGTTTTTTTTGCAACTTTTACCTGAAATAGAACTCCAGACACCAGAGAGGTTTACTGTGCTTCCCAGATGGAGTGAGGGAGGGGCAGAAACCAGCAAGAAGAAAATTTAGTTCCTCTTGACTCCTCTATATAGAATTAAGAGCCCAGTGGGCCTGGTGCTGACAATTATGACGGGCCTAATTACAGAAACATATCAACCAAAAACAGTAAAACACTCCCAAGCATCATGTTTCTGATGGAGATGGTGCTGGAGAGAAAGAAAACAGCAGCTATAAGAAAACACATACCCTAGGTTAATCTCTCACTAACTTATATTTTCATCTTTCAAATAAATCCATAACCCCTTACAGCAGTGTCCAGTCAAGCAGGAAGTCAATGGGCATGGTAAAAGGGTGTGCCACTGACACAAATCACGTAACCTGCCAAAAGGGGCGAACATGCCCAAAAAGAGGATATGTCTGCCCAAAGAATTAGGCCAGCCTGGTATGAATGCATGTCAGGCTGCCTGCCAATCATGCAGCTGGCCAACTAAGGGCATACTATGCAGTCTTCACCCTGAGCTTGGCATATATGCATCTAATGATGTGCTCACTCAACGCTTTCTAAGGACTGTCCCCTAGCACTCGCTGGTCCACTTGTCTCCTTACCTTCTTACTAGCAAGCAGAAGCTCCTGGTATATAGTCTGGGACAGAGAAAAGCTGTTTGTAGTGAGTGTAGAAGAAATGGAACATGCCACATTGTTAGAGAGACCAAAGTCAGCATTACCTTAAAGGATCACTATAGAGTCAGGAACACAAACATGAATTCATGATCCTATAGTGTTAACACCACCATCTAGCCCCCCTGGGCTCCTCATGCCTCCATAAATATAGAAAAATCTTACTGTATTCAAGCCTGAAGCTGTAACTCTGCATGCTGTTAGACTCAGAAAAATAAGCAGTCTGCTGATATCATTAAAAGTGGTGGTCTAATCCAATCACAGTGCTTCCCCATAGGATTGGCTGAGACTGACAAAGAGGCAGATCAGGGGCAGAGCCAGCATGATTCAAACACAGCCCTGGCCAATCAGCATCTCCTCATAGAGATGAATCGAATCAATGAATCTCTATGAGGAAAGTTCAGTGTCTGCATGCAGAGGGAGGAGACACTGAATTTTTGGATGCATTTTAGGCAGCCATTACCCAGGAAGGATCTCCATCTAGGGAGTGGCCAGTGAAGTTATCACTAGGCTGTAATGTAAAGACTGCATTTTCTCTGAAAAGACAGTGTTTACAGCAAAAAGCCTCACGGTAATGATTCTACTCACCAGAACAAATTCAATAAGCTGTAGTTGTTCTGGTGACTCTAGTGTCCCTTTAACTATATTCATTGTCAGCCAGTCCACACAAGTTTTGTTCCCATACATCCCTCTTAAGTTTCCATACTTAAGTAAGAGTATGTGAAAAGTAGTTAGGGTTGCCACCTTTCTTGGAAAAACATACCGGCCTTGCTAATTTGCATAATTAAATATGTATGGGTGACATCACATGATGTAAATCACAAGGAATGACATAAGAGAAAATGCTGTAAAATCACCAAAAAAACTACTTAGTTTGATTCTGCTGTATAGATGGATTCCTCCCAGTGGCCCCATATCTCCCAGTGCCCCCATGTGTCGATTACTCCAGGTCTCAGTGTTCCTATGTATCAGTGTCTCAGTGCCCCATGTCTCCCAGTGTCCCCTAGTGTCGTGTCCCCAGGTCTCCCAGTGATCCTATGTATCACAGTGTCTCAATGCCCCATGTCTCCCTGTGTCCCTATGTATCCCAGGGTCCCCATGTCACTTAGAAGACGGGAAGACCTGGGGACACGGGGAGACCTAGGGACACGGAGACACCAGTGACACTGGGAGACTAGGGGACTCTGGCTGGGACGCATGGGGACACTGGGAAAATAGGGGAAACTTGAAGACATGGGGACACAGACACTAGAGACACTGGCTGGGGGACATTAAGACATGGAGGCACTGGGAGACATGGGGACAAAGAGACACCAAGGCCACAGACACTAGGGACACTAGCTTGGAGACATGGGGACATTGAGACACTTGAGGCACTGGGAGACATGGAGGCACTAGGTGACATGGGGACAGTGAGACACTGGCAGACTGGGGGCACTGGGAGACTAGGGGGCACTGAGACACCAGGGACACTGGCTGGGAGACATGGGGACACTGGCTGGGAGACATGGGGACACTGTGTCTCCATGTGTCTGTGTCATAATGTCTCAGAATGTCCCTTAGTGTCTCAGTGTATGTCTACTTGCAGCCTTTCCCCCCCATCCCTTACTTCCCTGAGCTGTAGGCTGTCTCTTTAGGATGGGAGTTGCTGTCTGGACTCTCTGTAGCTGCACCCCTGCAGATCAGTGAGTATAGGTAGGCAGGCAGGGAGGGATATGCTGGAACTTCCTATCCCTGCCTGTCTCCACACACAGTGACCCCTACTGGCCAGTGCTGGTATTGCATAATAATCTCTTGTTTATACTGAGAAAAATACCAGCATTTGTATTGCCAGTATCACTGTAATATTGGCATCAGCCAGGTAGCCTCAAATACTGGCTGTGCCAATAAAATAAAAGCCAGGTGGAATCCCTAAGAGTAGAGTGTGAAAAAAAAAATCAATTTAATAAATCAATGGGCCTATTCCATGGGCCTGGAGCTGCAGCTCCATCAGCCCCTATGTTAATCCGGCCCTGCTTCTACCGGATCTATTCCTATTTCCTCATCAGACCTCTTCTTTTACATCATGTCGGGGTAAAAGAAAAGCATTCTGACCTTTGTTTCTAGGTGCTGTTCCAGTACTCTTGGATAGAGAGTTAGCTGTCCAAAACTCATGGAGAATCTCTTGTATCTCAAGTGTGCTCAGTTCAAACTCAGGGTTATTAGCTAAAGTGAGAATTTGGAGAGAAATTGTACAAATTTACACCAAAATAGCTGATCGCCAAGGATGGTTGACGAATAATTTTCAGTTCAGGTATTTTTACCTTAACCCCTTAAGGACTGAGCCAAATGTACACGTTGTGAACAAAACAAAACGTAAACAAAACCTGGCATTTGCGCTACATTGTCCAATCGTAATTCACCTCTTTCATATTAAATGAACCCACCCTTATTATATATCATTTTATTCAGGGGAAACAGGGCTTTCATTTAATATCAAATATTTAGCTATGAAACATAATTTAATATGAAAAAATGGGAGAAAATAAGAAATTTTTTTTTTTTTAGTTCTACATGACATTTTAACGGTCAATGTCATAATACTGTTAGATTTTACTGCAATAAAATACACATATTTGTATTCACCAAAGTCTCACGTGTAAAACAGTACCCCCTATGTACAGGTTTTATGGTGTTTTGGGAAGTTAAAGGGTCAAATATAGCATGTTACATTTGAAATTGAAATTCGCCAGATTGGTTACGTTGCCTTTGGGAATGTATAGTAGCCCAGGAATGAAATTTACACCCATAATGGCATACCATTTGCAATAGTAGACAACCCAAGGTATTGCAAATGGGGTATGTCCAGTCTTTTTTAGTAGCCATTTGGTCACAAACACTGGCCAAAGTTAGCGTTAATATTTGTTTGTGTGTAAAAAATGCAAAAAATGCCAATTGTGGCCAGTGTTTGTGACTTAGTGGCAACTAAAAACTATTGCAAATGGTATGCCATCATAGGGGTCATTTTCATTCTTGGGCTACCATAGGGTCTCAAAGGCAACGTAAACAATCTGGCGAATTTTAATGTGAAAAAAATGAAACAAGCCTTAAATTTGACGCTGTAACTTTTGAAAACACCATAAAACCTGTACATGAGGGGTACTGTTGTACTCGTGAGACTTCGCTGAACACAAATATTTGTGTTTCAAAACAGTAAAAAGTATCGCAGCAATAATATCGTCCGTGCAAGTGCTGTTTGCGTGTGAAAGATGCAAAAAAACGTCACTTTTACTGGCGATATCATCATTGTAATACATTTTACGGTTTTGAAACACTAATATTTGTGTTCAGCGAAGTCTCCCTAGTAGAACAGTACCCCCCATGTACAGGTTTTATGGTGTCTTGGAAAGTTATAGAGTTAAATATAGTGCTAGCAAATTAAATTCCCTACACTTTTGGCATGGGTTGTCAGGCAGGTCCCGCTAATTGTAATTAATTAAAATACCTAATTATGTAAAAATATTACATAAATATATTTGTAGAATTAATACATGTGTGTATATATATATATATATATATATATATATACATATATATATATATATATATAATTTTTTAAAAATATTTTTATTTATATATAGATTGTGGGGATATTTATGGGATAATAATAGTAACAGTGAGAATTGCCCACTAATTCAATTCTCAGATCCCAAAGAACGTTTATCGTGTTAAGTGGAATGTATTTCATATAATTAATATCACAATGTATAAAAATAGATTTTATTTATGATAACAAATAATTAACAAATAATATTATGTAACATGCATAACAATAATCAATGAATATCCAGTACAAAATTATATGCAATACAAAGAAATGGGTATTACGTTTCAATGGCTAACTAGCATTTTCTGTCAAGAATTCTGACGATTTATGAGGTATCCTTAACACAGGCTGAAAGTGAAACTTTTCACACAGAGAACAGAATTCCTCAGAGTGCAGCGTAAGGTCGTAAAGTTTAGCAGACAGTTAGAGTAACCCTTTCAATGCTGGCTAGATCTCCTAGGTAGTTAAGATCTATTCTTATGTAATTTTAAATAAAATAACATTTAACCCAGTTCATTAGCCATTTCCAGAAAACAATCCAATAAGAGAATCTACATATTATCTAAGCAGATTTTTAATTTGTCTAAAAGATATCTATCTTAATTTAGAGCAAATCAATACACCTGGATAAAAACAGCGGTATGCTAACACGTGATAATATCACATCAATATATAATTATTCTTAATTCCACCTGCAGAATGGAATGTTTATAACTATATATTCTTAGTTAACTAAGATTTCTTAATATGGAAATCTGACCGTGCTTTATCCAGTCATATATAATGCTATTAATACATTTTAATTAATTTAATTTAATTAAATGAAACCAGTATAATTACCAGTTGAGTAGATATTTCATCCGATTGGTAGCCTCAGGAACTTATTTGGATGTCTCTCTCTGCATGGAGGTTGGAATCCCCAAACTTCCAATTCCTCTCTCTTCTCCTTTGCATATCTTGCATCTGCCTCCTCTCGTCTATCTCCTGTATTTCTCTATCTTCCCTTTGTCTTAACTTTTAAAGGGCCAGACTCTCTGTACGTCATCAGTTGATAACCCAATAGAAGCACTAGAGGTGTGGTTATCTTCCAGATCGCAAATTAGTTATTTGGTCTGTAGAGGGCAGTCTTGTCCCACTAAACATACCTATCCAGGAAAGAGTTAACTTTTCCTGGTGGCTATTTTGACGTCATTTTGCGTTATCTTTATAGCGCCATAATTTAAAATTTCAAAGGGTTTCTTAAATTTTGTCCAGACTTAGCGTCTGCAATTCCTGCCATAATTTCTGATATGACAGATCATGAACTAAGTTTACCCTTTTCCATACAATGGTACCTTATATATATAGACAGTTAAATATTAAATTATTTAATCTTCTCTGTCACAATTGTCTGGGTTTAGATTTGATTATATTCTTCTAGCATTAGACAGTCTGTCCAACCCCCTTCCTTATCACTTGTTTATACTATGCATTCCTCAGCTCTGGGAAAGTGGTTAGCTTGCAGATAGAAATATAGTGTCTCTTTGTTAACTTGGAATAACAAAATGGAGTCTGGTCTGTTCAGAGTGACTCAGAATATACACTTTTAGTTTCTATCATAGCACAAAATGTCTGCCGATATAAATACCCTGACATAACCCCCCTTTAGTGCATTTCATAGCCAAAATTAATTTAGCTTATGAATAAGCACTATAGAAGTTACCAGACATATTGTGCAATCACATCATTTCTAACATAGGCCCGTGCGTGGAATGAACATTTTTGTATATATTTGTACCTGTAAAAGTTTTGAACTTTACACTTAGTACAATCAACCATAATATCATTATTACATAGTACATTATTTTCATTTGAAAAATGTTTTTGGGAGTTACATATGGTATGGTCAATAAAAAGCAAATCTCCATACGTTCCGGATCAATTAAGAGAGGTATAGCGCTCCCCATCTCAAAGGCCAGATTTAATTGCATAGGCTCAATTGTCTCTCCATCCACATTGGCAAGCATCGCATGAACAATATCCTTGGATACAAAATACAGAGGTATGCGTCCCCCTGCCAATTCGATCATTCCAGTTTGCACTTCGTCAAGAAAAGCAAGTGTGTGGAACAATATTGGGTCATGCAGAAATAGAAGTTCACGCTTGAATAAGTCATGACTTTGGTGCAACTCAGTGGATTTGGCAATTAACTCTGAATGCAAATTTGTTGTAACAACTGTGTCTTCCACAATAGTTAACACGTCTTGGAGAAGTGTTCTTTGCTGGTTTATCACCTGATGAATATCGTTAATGTGTTGCTTTAGCGCATAGATTTCCATATCCAGCTTTTGGACAGTAATAGAGTTGGCTGCAGACATTCCAGTTGCGACAACTGCACCGACAGTGGCACAAACTAATGCAACAATTATAGCGGTGAGGAACCTTTTGGGTCGGTTGCTCATCGGAATAGAACTGGATACAAATGGTTTCCGGGCTTGCTCCAAGATGTTTCGCACACGGTCCTGTGCTCTTTGGAGGTGCATCTGGTACCAAGTCTGTAACTCAGGAAGCTGCATCGATGAAATGTTGTATGCCTTCTCGATGGAAATCTTGGGGTCCAAGCTGACGAACACACGTCTGGTCAGGATCCTCTTCTCTGTTAAGATGAACCCTGGTGTCTCTTGAATCAGGATGCCGGAGGATGGTCCCATCTCTGCGATCGGGTCGGTCCGTAGCTCTTGGCACAGGAGCAGTACGATCCAGAAACACGCCACATCCTTCTTGGACATCTTTCGACAGTCACGGATCAGGAACTCGTTTCAGACTTATCTACTAATGATTCAAGGTTTGTTAAGCATACAAACTTATAACAGTGTGACATCACTTGGCCTAGGACAACACATTATTACGATTCATCAACATATGTATTCTCTCTAATTCTATTTTTATAACTTCATCCCTCACTACATTTATTACTGACTCTTCAGCAATTTGCCTATAGCAGTTAAACAAGCTAGTAACCTGCTTATAAAATGTAGTTATTGGATGGCAAGGAAATGGTTAATGACATGAACGTACATGAGATCATGGCACATCACAACATTTCACATCATACTATACCACGTGAATCAAGCATTCATCCAGGTTAGTCGTTCACCCTTCTGCGTCTGAATCCACACCTATAATCCTTAATTGAGATTTAGGATGACAAGCACGCAACTGGTTAATGTGAACCCACTTTTCAATAAAATCACCATCCTTAGGAATTTTTATCTTATACGCTACTGGGGAAATTTTGTCAATAATGACATATGGCCCTTTCCAAGAAGGTAAAAATTTCTTTTCCTTGACTTGATTTCGCGCAAAGTTATACAGATAGACTTGATCTGTGATTTCATATTCCTTTTTCGTGGTTTTTAGATCGTAATAGGTCTTAACCCCTGTCGCTGCTTTTTCTAGATTCTTTTGGGCAAAAGCAAACGCATGCTGTAAATGCTTGCGCAAATCTTCGATATACTGATGCGTAGTGGCAGCATTGATCAAGTTATGATCCGAAGTACGATATAGTAAATGCTGTGGTAAAACCATCTTTCTTCCTGTCATCAATTCAAAAGGTGACAATTTGGTAGCAGTGCTAGGTGTAGCTCTAATCGCCATTAAAACTAGGGGCAATTTAATGTCCCAGTCTTTACCAGACTCCTTAACATATTTCTTTAGAATATTAACGATAGACTGGTTATATCGCTCTACCCCCCCGCTAGACGCAGCGCGGTATGCAATATGTAGCTTTCGTTTAACACCTAGAATGTTCCACATCTTAGCCATTACTTCGCTGGTAAAATGACTACCTCTGTCTGACTCAATTCTTTGAGGCAGACCGAACCTGGAAAAGACATGGTTAATCAACAAAGTGGCGCACACGGTACTCGTGTTCTCTTTACAAGGCAAACATTCTATCCACTTTGTGTACATACATGTAACAGTTAACATGTATTTGTTACCTCTTGAAGATCTTGTTACAGGACCTATAAAGTCAATTTGAATATCAGACCAGGGTAATGACACCCCCCTCTTCTGAAGTGGTGCACGATGGGTTGGACCATGGGGTTGATATTGCGGACAAATCAAGCATCCCTGACAGTATGTCTTAACATCCCTTAACATGTGTGGCCAATATGCATAATCACGCAATATCTCATATGTGATCTTATCACCACGATGCCCAGATGTAGGTGCATCATGTGCGTGTTGGAGCATTAACCCTCTGTATACAGTTGGGACTACCCATTGTTGTATACCATGTTTAGAAGTTCTGATCAGCAACCCATCCATGATACTAAATTGAACTTTATATCTCATCAAGATTCGTAAATCTTCATTATCTTTGCAATCCTCATCTGTGATGGGATTGGCAGTAGGGTCTTCTATATGTCTATAGAATATGCCTATGACGGGATCATTCTTTTGACTAGTAATCAGGTCATCACTAGGGGTTTCTTGACTCCATTGCACGACATTTAAGTCGGCATTATCTCTAGCCTGTCGTCTAGTTATGGCTTCAACATGAATTGAACCCATAAGATCATCAATGTTTAGGGTTTCACCATTGATGGCAGCTTGTTTTGCCAGTGAATCAGCTAAGTCATTACCATCCTTGTCAATACCTTCTATTTTAGAATGGCTTTTGGTTTTCTTCCAATATATGGATAAACCATTTTCCTTAACCAACTCATCAATTTTACAAAACAATTTCCCATGTTTAACAGGTTTGTTATTGCTTTTCAGCATTTGGTTTCGTTTCCAGCTAGGCAGATATTCGACGAAACTGTTGCGAACATAGTTGGAATCAGTTATAATAACAAATTCTTTGATACTATATTCTATTGCCATTTGAATGGTCTTATATACTGCACAGAGTTCGGCTATCTGACTGCTTTTGGGACCAATATTGTATCCTATAGATACATTGGGATAATCACCTGTCCAGGCGATTCCGATACCTGCAACTAACTTCCGTTCAGCACCAACGACGTGGTGATATGAACAACCATCAATGTATACCCACGGTAGTGGTCGACAGTATTCCTCGTCATAAACTTTATAAGGGGATAGCAATTGCTCTTCTAGGAAATCATCTCCGGTGTCATTATCATCCAGAGATGGAGCAGTACAGTCATGTAATTCTGCTAAACCTTGGGCAACTGGGCTTCTCTTATTATGTTTATAACGGACTTCTAACGGCCATCCCTGTAAGGATAGAGTCCATGCAGTAATCCGACTGTTAGAGAGATTACCGTCTCTAATTCTTTCACTCTGCAGATACTGTAGAGGTTGGTGAGCTGTTTCTACAATTATTTTCTCACCTTGGATATAGCTACGAAAATTTTGTAGTGCCCAGACAGTCGACAATAACGCCTTCTCACACGTGTTGAATTTAACTTCAACAGGTGACAAAGTCTTGCTAGCATATGCAATAACTTTGTTTAAACTGTCCTGCTTCTGATACAGAACAGCACTTATGCTTAAATCGGTATATCCTGTCTCCAGATAGAAGGGTTTACCCCCCTCTGGGTATGCTAAACAGGGTGCCTGAGTGAGCTTCCTCCTCAGTTCACTTACCGCTTGGTCCTGAGGCTCCCCCCAGTTCCAGGTAGTTTCCTTTTTAAGCAGGTGTAAGAGTGGTTTAGTTATTTCTGCATAGTTATCTATAAACTTACGGGAGTAGTTAGTCATACCAAGGAACGATCTTAATTCCCTGATGTTTGAAGGTGTTTTAGCCTTTAGTACGGCTTCAACCTTCTTCCTCTGGGGATTTAATCCTTCAGAAGTTACCTCATGTCCGAGGAAATTGACATGGGTGCGACACCATTGCGCCTTTTGTAAAGACAGTTTAATCCCTGCCTCTCTTAACTGAGTGAGAACATGTCTAATCTCTAAGATATGCTTATCAAAGGAAGTGCTTTTCAGCAAGACATCGTCGACATATGATAACGTTCCTCTCTCGAGTGCGTCAGGCATAGCTTTATGCATGAACACAGCGAATTCATGACCAGAGTTTATATAACCGAAAGGCATACGGGTCCAGGTATACTGCTGCTTTCCAAATGTGAAGGCCAATTTGTATTGGTCTTCATTATGGACTGGTACAGTCCAATATCCCTGCGCACAGTCAATGGCAGTGAATATTTTGGATCCCTGCATTTGTACCAAACATTGGTCTATGTATGGCGTTGGCCAACCAGACATATAGACGCGTTTATTTAGCTGTCGTAAGTCAGCGCATAAACGCCATTGTCCATTAGGTTTCAGAATCCCCAAGATCGGATTATTATACGAACTGTGCACTGGACGTATAATGCCCCTTTCCTTTAAATTCTGAATGATGTCTTGTAGACCATCATATGACGCTAATGGGAGTCTATATTGTTTGATAAATACAGGTGGTAAATTTGGATCAGTTTGTATTCTGGCTACGTGGAGGTTAGTTAACCCACAGTCGTAGGAATCTTTGGCAAAAATATCTTGGAATTCCAAAAGGATTTCCTTTAGCTGTTGCCGCTCAGCATCGTTGGAGCAACCGTCAGCTAAAGATATTTGCTCTTCTAGCCTTTCCTGAAATCCTGGAAAGATTTCAGGCTGGCCTATCTCATAAGCTTCTTCAAGCCTAGAAGTTAGGTCAGTTCGGTGTTGACTTACCTTTTCTCTTTGGTCGTGATACTCTTGTGATTCCTGCTCATTGAGCGGATGATCGAAGGTGATAGATGCTTCTTCGATTTTACACGAGCCTTCTTCAACATTGAAGGGATATACAGATAGGATAGTGAATAATCCTTCTGGGGAGGAATGGAATATTTGATCGACAATTTCGTCCTCAGTTAAGTATTCTTCAGGGATGAGGCCTATAATTTGGTTTTGGAAACCAAATGTATAGTACTCAGCATCCAATGCTAGACCTAATGATGTTCCTTTTGGTAAAGTAACACTATTGGGTGTAACATTGTTGACCATGATATAGGTGGGATTCTTACCAATACTTACCATTGGTGTATGTGTTACCACCATCCCTAATTGTTGTATCCTATTGGATAAACAGATTAGGGCATCAGAGTTTTCCAATCTCTGACCCTCCTTGACCTGTAGGGGTAAAAGAAAATTACTTGTCCCCTGTGGAATGGTTATGTCATCAGGAACTTGGATACTTACCGCATATGGGAGTATTTGTCCTGATTTCAGGGCGTTTTCCTCATGTAGGTATCCACAAGGATTACCTTTTAACCTGGTCCACAAGTTGGAATTAATCAGGTCAAGGTGTATGGCAAAGCGATGTATGACATCATTTCCAACGTAAACCTGATAGCGAGGTTCATTTATCACTAGGAATAAATGTTTAACGGTCTTATTTCCGATGGAAATAGATAGTAAACATTTTGCTATCACATTGTGACTCTCTGATTCGCCATCCAGGTTCTGGATCCACCTGTCATGTGGGGAAGCGTACCTGATCATTTTAGGATTAGCTATCTGCTTTAACAGACTTCTACTAATATAGCTGTTCTCACTCTGTAAGTCCAGCTTTGCATTCCTACTTCTTCCTAAGTCATGTATTTGAATAGGAAAGAATAAGTTGTTATTAACCCTTTCAATTCTGGCAAGGAATTGAGCATGACCTGCCAGATCTACAGATTCAACATAGTCCCTGTGGAGAGAAATGGTTAAAACATCACCTTCCAGAGAGACATTCTGGATCCTCTCTGGAGCAATTCTTACGGAATGCTCATCTACAGGTGCG